GCCCCGCAGTCCTCTTCACTGCTCTCATAGGGTTTTATGTATAAGTACAAGTTTGCTACTTTATGTATAAGCTAGACAGAAACCAGAATAAACGATAACAGCTACCAAAGACGTCTATGATTTCTGCACTGGTAACCCTATCGCCCTACATTTGACGCCCAACGTTAATGAAGTTAGCTACAGATGTCAAGTATAATTGACGTATTGTGAAGTACCCACTATACAAATAAAATACCAGAAGAATATACCCTCATTATAAGAATATTATTTCAAAACAAATATACATTGAAGATTAATTTCGTAAACTACCCACTATTTTTGAGAAAAGTGCACGTATTTGAAAAGCTTTATAATGTCGGAATCTAAAGATTTGTCAGCAGACGCGAGTCAGTATGCCATAGGCGCAGCTTTAGTGCAGGGGGAGGGCGAGCATGAACATCCTGTACAACATGCCAGTAAATTGCTAACTCCAGCCTTGAAGCAATTAGCTCAGAATTTGGCACTTGCGAAAGAAAATATTGAAGATAATCTGGAATCAAACAGATTTAAGGCAAACGCTAAGAGAAGACCCGATCCAGGATATAAAATTGGAGACTTAGTGTTGGTCGAGACACATCCAATTAGTAATAGTGAAAAACAATTCTCTGCAAAGTTTGCTCCACGGCGAGACGGTCCTTACATAATAGTAAAGAAACATGGAGCTGCCACTTACGAAGTAGCACACCCAGATACACCTGAAAGATCAATTGGCAGATACCATACTTCTGCTATAACTAAATTCGAGAGAAGAGATGATGATTTGCCAAACACTGTTAATCCAATCCGTCGAAGAGGAAGACCTCGTAAGGATGCTGGTGCTCTTACGGGACGTTAACGAGCACCAGAGGGGGAGAATGTAGCAAGACAATAATGTACTACGCATGGACCCGAATACTTTCTCTCTCGCACACCGACTATCTATTCCATTCAACGCGCATCACCTACGACATCGTGGGAGTGGGAGCACAGGGCCGCCTATATAAACCGGCACGCAGCCTCCAGTATGGCAGTCGATAGCTAGACGACTCAGAGTGCGATAGCCCCGCAGTCCACTCTGGTGTCACGTAGCTGACCTGATCGATAGCCCCGCAGTCATCAGGTTCTGCTAAGCATGAGGTCTTCAAGAGCGATAGCCCCGCAGTCCTCTTAAGACACTCACGTAGCGTAGGAAAGTAGTGATGAGCGATAGCCCCGCAGTCCTCTTCACTGCTCTCATAGGGTTTTATGTATAAGTACAAGTTTGCTACTTTATGTATAAGCTAGACAGAAACCAGAATAAACGATAACAGCTACCAAAGACGTCTATGATTTCTGCACTGGTAACCCTATCGCCCTACAGTACGAATTTAGTTTAATATCATAATGAGCTCGTAAATGCAGTCGATGTAGGTATTTAAGTCAGTGCTGTCTACATGGACTTTTCCAAAGCATTCGATAGGGTTTGTCATAGGACACTACTCGAAAAGCTGAATGCGTATGGTGTTGTGGTCCTCTGTTGAAATGGTTCCACTCTTATTTGTGCGATAGGACACAATATTTAGTGATAAAGGGTTTCAAATCAAAAGTATACACAGCTGGTTCTGGAGTTCCTCAGGGCTCCTAATTGGGTCCCTGGCTATTTAAATGATTTATTAATGACATAGTTTCTTGTACCAAAAATAGCTTAACTTTTTGCAGACGATGTAAAGCTATGTAAAACTACATCAAACCCGTCGGACTGCCGTCTTCTTCAAATGCAATAATGGAGTGGTGCACTATCAACGGGATGTCCTTGAACTCAAGTAAATGCTACTCCATCACGTTTACGCGTAATCATAATTTAATAGAGAGTCAATATTACATCAATGGGGCGATGTTACAGGAGATGTGAGAGATAGAGACTTAGGAGTAATTTTTGACTAAAAAATTAACATTTTTACCTCACACGAACAGCGTTATTAAAAAAGCGTCTAGAATGCTTGGCTTTATCAAAACTCTTTCGTAAGCCAGCCACAATTTACTGTTTATAGAAGTCTCATGGAAAGTCATCTTAAGTACTGTTGTGTAGTTTGGTCCCCCCAATATACTGTACATCAACTTAGAATAGAACGTATTCAAAAGCGATTCGTCAGACACCTTACTTTTTCTGGTGGGCTAGAGTAAAGCAACTTCCTTCATACAGCGATTAATTGCGTCACTTTTTATGGTAAGCCTGTCAATTCGTCGACAACAGCATGATATGACATTCCTTTATAAAGTAAGTAGGTGTAAGTTCGACTGTCCACTGCTTTTGAGCTTGAGGGTACCATGTCGTGTGCCTAGACAAGCCCTCACTAACGCAAGGTTGTTTTATCAGCCACCGGCCAGAACCAATCTAATACAATTCTCAACGCTATTGCGTTTGTCCAAAGCATAAATGCCATTTGTGGGGAAAAATTCAAAAAAGTTTCTAAAAGTTGCTATTAGGTTAGCAAATGATTCAAGTGGTCTCTTAGGTAGTTAAATTTAAAATCATATAATAGTAATAAGCTTGTTAATTGTTTGTTTTATATATTATTATATTTAATTCTTTGTTTTATATTTGTTCAATTTAGTGTTAAAATCACATAGATTTTTCTATTTTTAGTTTTACATAGTGTTATTTTATTATGCATGTTGTGACGCTTTAAAATGTTGTGCATTAATCTTAATATAATATATGCATGCTTTAGATTTTAGTAAATAATGTAACAACTACTGGCTGTCCAATAAATAAATAAATCAATGTGAAATAGGTAAAATACATAATTTCTTTTTGAGTAAAACATTTGTGGCAATCTAACATAAAAAAAGTTGTATTATTCTAAGTTATTACTACAACAATTATATCATATTTTTTATAGTTAGAATTTTAAAAGTAGGTTGCTCTAGTCGTTCCAATCTGACTGAGGAGTCTGATAATGTCGAATGCTATCACAATTGGGTCGAAATGCAATGCGAATTGTCCAAAAACTAATAACATTTGGTCTATATCATAGCCATGGGAATAAAAATCTAATCATCGTTAAAACTAGTATAGTACCATATCTTATAGGAATGTATCTAACTATGTCTTACGAAGAAAATATTTGAACTAATCTGAAAACAACTTAAAATAAAAACTTAAGTTAATATTAAGTAATTTGCCATATTGTTATTAAAACTAAGTCAATAATCACTTGGAATGTTTGAATAAGTACGCCTTTTAATAGCATAATAAATAATAAATAAATAAAATGACTCAGCAGGTGTTACAAGAAAAACTACCTTTGATATACAAAATTTGAAATTTAAGTCTCATCATAACTAAAATAACCTTGTAAGTCCCATCTTAACTAAAAATCTAAGTCTCACAATAATTAAAACCTACCTAACTAAAAAATAAAGTTCTTAATCTATCCCAAGACTCAAATAACAAGTTAATATAATAAAAATATCAGTACCATTGGTACTTCAATACTTATAGTAAAGATAGGGCTAAAATATATTATCATTTAGATTATAAATACAAAAACTTTTGGCACAGCCAAATCATAGTTAGATTTCTTCATTTGGATACTTTTAAAACACCATTAAAAAACATTAATAAATATAATAGTAACTGAGGGTATGTTTTTGTACCCCTTCTCAAAAGAAAAATGGCGGAAGGAAGCATTTTATCATTGGAATACTTAATATTTTTTTATACAACTAGCTAACTAGTCCATGAGGACTCGGGTTCGATTCCCAGACCGGGCACCATTTTATAGGGTTTCCTGAGAAGCAAAAAAGCCTAAGTTACACCTTATACAGACAGCTACCGAGTAGTAAAATATTATCAAATTCGGTCCAGCCGTTTTGAAGATTACCCGGAACAAACAGACAGACAGACAAAAAGTATTTTTACTGGTTTTTAGACATAGGTATCGTACAAATAGCGGAGTGAGCATGAAAAAACCTATTGTTTGACATTACAAACAGACACTAATTTTATTTATTTGTATAGATGTATAGACAAGTGCACAACGCGAATATTTTTAAACAATATGTGCTATAAAGTTAAATATTAACGGATACATACCACTATAGAGATCCAGTATACATTTATACCTATAATGGTACAAAAGTCTATACAACGATAGTTCAAGTTATACTGGTATATCAAATAAAACAATCGAAATGGTTTAAATTTAAGCGTCAAGCGAACTTTAGTACGACTTAAGAACCCACTGGATATTTTTTACAATTATATTATATTAGTTTTAGTCTTTAAATAATTAAGATTGAAGACCGTTATTATGACTTTGAATATCAACCAAAATGTAATAAAAATAATTTAGTACGTTCACGGACATTCCACACGGTTATTTAATATTTGCATGACATTTCGAACAGGTAACACCGACCCTGGTCACAGTGCAACTCCCTGAGGTATCCCTGTATGCAATATATATAGTTATTTTCCCATAACATAATTTACATTATAATGGAACGCGAAATATTAAAAGTAAAAGAAATTAGTTTCAAAGTACAAAAAGTACAAAATACTTGGAACCCTTTGCTATGTAAAAGTCTGATTTTTAACCAAAAGTGTTATTAGTAAAAGACATCAAAAGCCTTTGCTAAGTCAAAAAGTAAATCATGGGTTTTGATTGTAATATTTCTAAACGAAAAGATTGCAACCGAGGTTAATTTAACCCAACTACGTACAAAAACTGTTTCCTAAAAATCTTTTGAAGCTAGGGAATACCCATGAAATAAGCTTTCACTTGAAGAAAGTCTCCAATTTAGGTCTCTTAAATAAATAAATTCCTAGAATTAACGTTTTTTTCTAGGTTATAACATTGTATTATATCAAGGTAGCAATGCTAAAAGGGATACCTGAAACTTATATAATGAATATTATATTTCACCTTTAGAAACCGAGGGTTGAAAATCCTTGACAAATATACCTGCAAAGTCGCCAACAGCTTTTGAGTGTGAATTTAAATCCATTTATCATCCTTTTTCCCGTTCAGCAAAGGTGTCTCTTCTTTCAGATCCTTAACTGGACTCTCCGGCTTCCCGTTGTAAAATTTTGCGGAATTCGCTGAAGACACTATGTAGGGGATACCGGCCAATTCTGATGACAGTGGATTATAGTACTGTCTGTAGCAGAATATGGCTACGACGTATCCCAATATTGACCCCACCAGAATATCTGTAAAAGAAAATAAGTCTTCAGTTTGTAAGGTTTATCGTGGTGGAGCAATACTTTGGCACAAATAGGCCAGGCCCTGCAGGAGTGATACTACTTCACAGAAACCCGATGTTAGCCAGTACTTTCAGTGCTTTTCACCGAGTGAGTGAGGTGGTGACGGATTAAGAATACAGAGTGTCACCACGCCTATTCATCCCGTGGGTGTCGTAAGAGCCGACTAAGGAAGCAAAAAGAGAAGGAAAACTTGACACAAACCCTATACCAACCCGTCTGGCCAGCGTGGTATAGTAGGCCAAAACCTTCTTTCTAAGGAGAGGCATGTGTCCAGCAGTGGACTATTAAAGGCTGTTGATGTGAGTGGGGTTGCAGGAGCCTTAACCCTTCCCCTTCTCTTGGTTATGGCGGGAAAGCCTAAAAGGACGGCAACGTACTAGTGACTCTTGCGTTCCAGGTATCCATGGGTGATGGTAGTTAACTACCATCAGGGGACCTGTCTGCTCTGAAACTATCAGTTCGATTTCAATCATTCTTTTTGAATTTGATAGAGTATTTATTAAAGAATAATTCAGGCTGTGAAGCATTACGTTACGCCTCTTAGAGGCCGAGCAGTAACCACAAAGTTAGATGGACTTGTTCTGGCCTTATTAACAGCATACTTTATATCTTGAGATGAACCTCAAACGCCAGTGAACCATACCTTGCCAATGATGGTGATAATCACAAGTCCTTGACAACGCCACGCAGGCGGCTACCATGAGAGGTGCGAGGCAGGTTATCACTCTAAGACCTGAGCCTCTGCGACGAGACAGCACTCCAAGGCGACCGCATAACCAGGCGGAGGCCATTCCGAGAGAACAGAACGACACTGCAACAGAGAAACATATTTAATTTATACATATAATAGTAGACATGCAGTCAATTTTATCTTCATCGTATTCCCGACTTTTTTCCAATAATATTTGGGTTCGGCATAATTAGCAGCATTGCAAAAGTTTTTTGTAGCTGGTTTCTTTTGAGGCCTGCGCCTGCCTCATCATCATCATCCAGAGCCTATAACAGTCCACTGCTGGATATAGGCTTCTCCTTAGAAAGGAGATTTTGGCCTACTCTACCACGGTGACCAGACAGATTGGTACAGGGCTTATTTTAACTTGAAACTATGCAATGCTGTTGTCCTGCATAGTTTGCTGCCTTAGTCGGCTCTTACGACACCCACGGCATTAATAGGGGTTGTCTCGATGTAGATTATGAAGTAGGATGATGGAATAGATGGAGACCAAGGAGTCGGACTAAGGTATGCAAGGCTCATATGGCGTCTGCACTAGCTTAAAGAGTCCAGGGTCACTCCACGGTCCCGTACCCGTATGTCAGCTTGAGATGCCACTTCAACATAAACCGGTCATCTTTGGACATCCCTAGACAGGTAGTAATACTTACAACTACTGTGCCCACTAGGAAATGATTTCTTCCCCTCGATAATATCTGCAGGATCCCCTGTACATTTGAAGTCAGGTGTCTCTATGCCGTCAGGGAAACATCGATAGAAGAAATCTGGCCTGGGACGACCTGCAAGAAAACATCGGAGATAATATTTACACGCTCTGCAGTCTGATCAATTGATGGATTTTGGCTTGGGAGATTGCTGCTTACCAGCTATTAATTTAACCATATCCGTGAGAACTCCGTTGATGCCCAGAGATAAGGACCATGCCAGAAGAATCTGTAATCAAGAAGACAGTTTAAAGAAAACTGATGTTCAGGTAATAAACCTAGCTGTATCTCACTCCTTACTCGTATTGTAAACGCGAAAGTTTGTGATTTAAATCTGAGTTACAATTATACGCAAAAACAGCTAGTAAATATCGTAGTAATCATCATCACCAGCCTGTCGCAGTCCACTGCCCGACATAGGCCTCTACCATTAATAATAATATTTTTGGACATCTGACATACAACGCCATCTAGCTTCAAACTAAGCAGAGCTTGTAGTATGAAAGCTAGATCGACTGACACTGACTTTTGCAACTAACTCCTGCCAGCCATCGTTGTCATCATTTGCCCGTGAAAATACAAGTAAGGAAACTTATAGAGTAAGAAAAGAAAGAAAGAAAGAAAGAAAATACGTTTATTAGTCACAACACAAACACAGCCAAAAAAGGAATTACAGATATAACATAGAAGAGAAAAAGAAAACAAACAAGTTGCTCAACTGAAGAATAGCACCAACAATAACAAAAACAAACAAGTACAAAAGAATAAAATGATCACTGTGTGTGACTAAAGGGCCACAACTCAGCCTATGCAGCCCTAAAAGTGACCACAGCGCTGATTTTCATCTGAAGCCCAAAGGTACCTGATATGACTTGTAGAAACATAATTAATTCTACAAGTCTCGAATGGAAAACGGTACACATGCAAATATACACTCAAGTCTTTGTCCGCGAAAGACCGACAGACGCCCACATTTTGTCAACTATAATTTTAGTCACATTATAAGTCTGTTCATGATCCAACTTTTATTTCTAAATACCTTTACAACTTAATATACCTATATAATTCTTCTTTACGTGTGTTTGTAACCTAACTTTCCTAAAAGTCTGGAGCGATTTGGATGAAATTTTGTGTATATATTTCAATGGGTTCCTGGATGGTCCAAAACACAATTGGACTCGGTGGATGGTGCTGCTGTCCGGTATGTCACCAAATTTGTCACCTAATTGATTAATTCTAAGACGGCACGAGGTTCACCGCGTCAGCTAATTTTAGATAAATTACACCTAGACACAGAACAAAATGATCGTACTAATCAACTCAGAGACGGTTGTAAGACAGCTGTTGCGCGAAGAGGCCAGAAGGTCAATTCTCGCGTTTGAGTAGACCGGAACTGAATTTTGAACGAATTTCTCTGTCTACTGCAGGAACCTTACCTCCAAAGCATCATTGCAATCATTACATCCAGCCCAGGCTATGAGCGATAGAGTGCACGGCACTGACAGGACAATTGCCCACAAAGCTCCAGCCGGCACATACGACTCGTGACGCGGGTACATGTACTCCCATTCCATGGTTTGTTTGTGTATCACACGCGTAAACGGCTGCATGGTTTCCATATAACTGGGGACAAAATGGGGTATTTTAAAAACTTTGTGTTGTTTACCAATATTATTTCGAAACATAAATTTAAATTTAGACTGTCTTAGACGCACATATCACTATTGAGGTGTTGCTGATTTTTAGTATTGTAGTGGTGCAATATTAAGCTGAGTAACGTCTCTTTTTAATGAACACTGCAACGCAATTGTACAGCAATTTTTTTTTTTTTTTTAAAAACAATGGAATCCCGCATTAGGAATTTATCCTGTGTCGCTGGGGACTTTACAAATGTACATTAAACCATCCTTCTGATGCTTTTTACAACTAATCTGTGGAACGGGTTATCGTCTGCGGTATTTCTGGACCGATACGACCTTCAAACCTTCAAGAAAAGAGCGTACCCCTTCCTGAAGACGGGCATGGACAACAATGGTCACTTTCCATCATGCTTTTAGTTTTTTAATGAATAGTGTAGTCTTAGTTTCGTTTTTTATGTGGATAGGTAATTTGTTGTATATTTTTACAGCCATGTAGTAAGGGCTCTGGTTTAGCATTTTAATTCTTGATGGTGGTAGGTATAGTCTGTCTCTGTGGCGTGTGTTTAAATTGTGATTGTCTTTTACTCTCGCGACTGACTTACTTACTTACTGGCTCATGTTCCTGGATACAAATAGTTGGAGTTGTCTTTTTTAAGACAAAAAAAAAATATATATATATATATATATATGCAGATGTCAAATATGTATAATGATGGTAGTGTGAGGATGTTATATTTAATGAAGAAGGGCCTACAACTATCACGATTTCCAATTTGTCCGATAATTCTAATACATTTTTTTTGTTATATAAATAAATCCTGAAAGTGTACACTGTTTCCCCACAACATAATGCCGTATCGTAACCAGGAGTATGCGTAGTATGCTGACAGTGCGGTTTTTTCGTTTGTGCTGCATTTAAGTTGGAATAGAGCGTATGTAAATCGAGACAGTTTATTTTTTGTATGTTCGATGTGTGCTTTCCAGTTGATGTGTTATACCAAGTAATTTGAATTTATCTACAATTTCTAGTTGTATGTTGTGTTGATGTTTACGGGGTGTTTCTGTATGTTCTAAATTGGATAGTTTTTGTTATGTTATAGTTAATTTCTAAGTTATGGTCATTGAGCCAGTTATTTACTGTGTCTAGAGTTTCCTGAAGTAGTGGTGTCGGCTTTGTGGTTTTGTCATAAGTAATTATTATTTTTTTTTTTTAAAGACAACCCCCGCATTAGGAATAAATCCTGTGTCGCGGGGGACTTTACAAACAAAACAAATTAGTATTGATATATCATCAGCAAATAGGACAGGTAATGTATGTTCCTTGTTTAGTACTTTTGGAAAGTCGTTGATGTATATCAGAAATAGCACACAACCCAACACGCTGCCCTGCGGGATTGAACACTTTATGTTCCTTTTTTTAGGCCGCACTATTTTAACCTCATTCGTATTGGGGTCGAAATGGTCAATTTGGATTATTTGTGATCTATTTTCTAAATATGATCGAAACCATGTGTAAGCTGGCCGCGAATACCAGAACCGTTTAGTTTATTCAAAAGAATGTCGTACAATACTTTGTCATAGGCTTTCGTCATGTCAAGTAATACGCCCAGTACATGTTTTGTGTCATTTATATGTTTTATGGTAGTCTAGATATACTTATATACTGCTAGTGTAGTTGATCTTGATTTTCTAAATCCATTTTGACTATCATCGAGAATGTTATATTTTTCTAAAAAATCGTATAATCTGTTACACATTGTTTTTTCAAATACTTTCGAAAATGTGGGTAACAAAGCAATAGGTCTATAATGACTAGGTGTGTAGATGTCGCCTTTTTTGTGTATCGGTTTGATTATTGATATCTTTAGGGGGTCTGGAAAATGTGAGTGGTATTGACAGTTTTTCTGCACACTGTTTCAATAGAATTGGGGGGATTTCATCTATGCCGCAGCTGTGTGTATTTTTAATTGAGCGTATTATGTCGATTATTTCTTTTCTATCTACAGGACGCAAGTACATGGATCACATTTGTGAGTTTATGACGGGTCGACCCAGTGCACTGTTTTTGTTGGTGTTATTGTTATTCGTGCCCATACCCACAGTAGCAAAATACTCACTGAAATTGTTGCAAATAGTTGTTGGACATGTTACAATGTGGTTGTTAATTTTTAATGATATATTTTGTGGAGGGAGTCTTTTTTTTTGTTTACCTGTTTTTTGATTTATGATATTCCACATTGTTTTTGTTTTATTATCGGAGTTTTCCATTTGTTTACAAAAATCAAGTTTTTTTGATATGTTTACACTACGCTTTAGGGTTTGGCTATACTTTTTATAAAATTTATGTATAATATCATTATCATTCACATTCAGAAAGGCCCTTAATTTTCTTGTGTGTGCACATGATTGCCTAAGGCCGGTAGTGAGCCATTTTTTTTTGGTTTATTATTTATTTTCAGATTTTTTAACGGTATATGTCTACTAAGTAATTTAGTCAATATATTGAGAAATAAATCGTAATTGGTGCTTAAATTGTTGTGTGTGTTGATTATTTCGTGCCATTTTATGTCATTTAATGAAGTGTTGAAATGTAATATGTTCCTTTCTGTGAATAGTCTTTTTTGTAAGTACCAGGTTGTGTTATTATTAGGATAAGAGTGTTTCAATTTTATTTTTAGTGTAATACCCTTATGATCAGAGAGACCATAATCTTGGACGCTGGCTTTATTAATAATGGGCATGTAGTTAGTGAAGAGTAGATCAATGCAGGTTGAGGAGCCTTTTGATACACGTGATGGTTCTCTGATAATCTGTTTGAGATTGTTTGAAAACATTAAGTTGATAAGATTCATTTATTGGTCAATAATATTGATATGACTATGTAAAGAGCAGTTACTTTAAAAACTACAGGGACAGGCTATAGGGTATAATAAAATTTAAAAATAGAAGGCGTTTTAGACTTTAATTTTTGTTTTTTTTTAAGAGTACATCAAAACAATGAACACGTATAAATGGCAGCTTTATCCCTAAAAAGCAATTTACTTTAGACGCACTTTATTTTTTTAGAAATGAAACATCTATTTTGCTGTTTACTTTTATGTGATTGTGTGTTTAAACTTATCATTATTTGAAATTCTTATCGTATTGTTTCTTATTTAACACGAATGGGTTGTGCAATAATAAATAATACAATACAAACGCAATAACAATTATTTATGTTGAAATCGTGATAAAATTAAATCGATTTTTTATATTTTATTTTTACTTTAATAACATATATTTTTAATAAAAAATTAAGTTGACCTTAAGTAGCACCTTAAAAAATGCAATTAAATAGTCTTAATTGAGTATTTACACACACTTAATTGATAAATAAGCTAGAATGTGTTTGTAAATATTAAAAGAAACATATGGACGTCACTTACCAAAAAACTGATACTAAAATTATCCTTAGAACAATTTCGATGAACAAATTAAAGTTTGCAGAACGTATTAGTGGCATTTTTGTCATCTATTTTATTTATTTCTTGAATTAAATTCGTAATTCACTCGCACCACGAAAATTTTTTGATAATGACAATGAATGACGTCAACTAATTCGTTCAGGAATACAGAATGTTCTGTCTTTGTGGTGCTTGCTTAGTATACGTTTAATTATTGGTTCAATTTCAGTTTTTTAATAGAATGGTTGCCTGTCTGTCGAGCTATAAAGAGTTAATTTGCAGTTTTGCTCTCTGTTAGTTATAAACAAATGTTATCACAACATAAGTATCATATATATATACACATGGCTAATGTTTTTGCAAAAGCGCAATCTATACTCTGTATCTGTAGTACTCTCGCTTATGGTTGTGATTATGATTCTTTAAAATGACCTGGAGCTCTTTTTTGGGGCTACTCCCACACCAGAAATACATCTTGTATCGCGGACTTTACAAATATACATGAAACGGACACAAAGAACACCCAGACTCAGAATAACAATTTGTGGATTACACAAAGTGTCGTCCCATGTGGTTATCGAACCCACAACACTCAGCGTAGTAGGAAGCGGCGTGGCGACCGCTTAAACCATTACGCCATCCGTGCAGTTATAGTGACAGTACACGAGGTAGAATGATATTGGCTCTCGGTGATAGCAGCTGATGTACAACCATATTAAGGTGTATAAGACGACCACATGTCATCACTATTTGCACAATAGGAAACAAATCTATTGCCGTCATCCGGAAACGGACGGACGGAACGTAGAGAAGATGAGAAGGCAATGGTAGGAGGAATATTGCTTATAGTGGTGGGTTAGGCCTAGTAGGCGAAACTCGGATAGGCTATTTCAAGTGTCATAGTTTCTAGCGTGGACATGGCATCTTATATTAGAAGTTGTTTAAATATTTTCAAGTTTTAATGTAGGTATATAATTGATCAAACCTCTTAATAAATCATGTTCTATCAAAATGTTTTTATAATACCATATTAAATTACTTACCAATACATATTTTATACCTAAAATGCTTTAAAACCTGAACGTACACTTCTCGTACATTTTTTCTGATTCATAAGAAAGTCGAAAACTGACAATTTGATCAGTTCTTTCGTAAGTCTTTGTAGTACATTTTTTTTCATGAGCGCATAATTTAGTACATTTTTTGTAGATGTGATGATGAATAATGTTGAGGATGTTGATGAGTAAATACAATCCTTGATTGTAAAACAACTTAACATGGTTATGATCATCAACAGCCTTTAATAGTCCACTGCTGGACATAAGCCTCTCTTTAGAAAGGTAGTTTTGGCTTACTATACCACGCCAGCGTGGTATAGTAAGCCAGACGGGTTGGTATAGGGTTTGTGTCAAGTTTTCCTTCTCTCTGAAGTGCAGTTGTGCAGCGTAGTTTTCTCCCTTAGTCGGCTCTTACGACACCTACGGGATGAATAGGGGTGTTGACACTCTGTATTCTTAATCCGTCACTACACGGAACTTGAAATAAAAAACCATTCTAACTCATATTTTGTTTATTGTTGAGTAAATATACAATTATGTACTTATAAAATAATTACTTTGTACGAGTTTTAGTGTTACATTCTTATAGACCTTATCATAAAAAGAGCACTTTCCAGAATATGTATTTATTTGCTTAAATAGTTTTAATTACTCACTAATTTTAAAATTTATATGAATGTTACTTATAAAAACTATTATATGACCACAAGAAAACACAACCAGACAACTTAAAAACAAAGAAACTGATAGCAAAACAAATATTACCTACACAACAAAACTTGCAAAATCCTGCAAAAATTCACAGATAATCAAAGGAAATTAAAACAGAGAACAAACTTTATATTTCATAAAAAACTTACATTTGTTTGCACGAAAGAACAAAATGCGAAAATATAAAAAGCTTTTGTTAACAAAGGAGAACAAACGCCGACGTGTAACAGAAATTTCCAATCAGTGTCTTTCGCGCCAAATACTTCAAACGTCAAACTCATTCGTGCTAAAAATTTCTATGTTCAAGTACATTTCTCGAATAGATTTTAATCCTGAAATTAATTCTAAAATTACTGGTCTAGTCAAGATGTGGCACTGACCCTCAACTTAATCCTTATATCATAAGTAGTCTTCTTTATAAAAATCCATTAACTTCTAGGATAGGCATCCGCCTACAGTGTATAACAGAATAAAACCCGAAAAACTAAATTACCATTAAAAAAAAGTTAGTAACGCATTTTTAAGATATGACAAGTAAAAAAATTTACTAACTTAATTCTCTTTGTTTTCAGGTGGTGTTGTAGGTATATTTGTATTTCATATATTTTAAATTATTTGCAACCGTTTTTTGAAAAATTATTTTGATAAATCTTCTAGAGTATATATTAAAATTTATACAGACATGTATATGTATTTAAGTACATTTAACTGACATTATAAGTATGTAGGTATGGTCCTACCTATAAACCAGATTCGTATTTAAAAATAAGGCGCCTCGCGCACAAAAAAAATAAAGAGATATTTCAGATTTTAATGCTTTAAAAAAATAACTACATATTGTTACAAAAGTGATGTGGGTTGTGCACTTTCAAAAGCGAGGGACATCTATCTCTACAGGTCTAACATTTTACAGCTGGGTAACCCTTAATGGGTAACTAATGCTTGAAAAATCAATCATTGTCTTCTCTTCTCTCTTCTGATCTTCACCTGTTGTAAACTGTGAAGAATATTCGATATTTCATTTTTATTGATTCCTAAAAAACTCTGTTGGTGTGACTCATGAGGTTTTTTGAAATGACCTATTCAATTATTATCTATATAAAGAGAGTCCCTGATATCCTCTGCATTTTTAGCATAAACAAATTGAATTGCCATATTTATTCAATACAGAATTCATTTAAAAAATATTTCATAAAGTAAATGAAAGAGTTTTGATGACATAATTGCTTTTTCAACCCCTTCATTCTCTATGTCATCAAAAATAAACAACAAAGACACTAATGCCCCTATTGGTATTTACGTAATACTTGAACTAACCCAGTAATATAATTAATTTACAAAAATAAATGCCAAAGAAATCAGTTCGTAAAATTAACAAAGTATAAAACTCATTTAGTTGCCAGTATCAACAATAAAACTATTTTTTATAACTTAAAATAAAAATAAACGAGTGAGTCCTACAGATGACGCATAAACTTTTTTTTATAACATCTGAAATTCCACCTATCATCTGACGGACATCTCTAGCACCGCGTGCGTTCGTTTTTTAAATTAAATAGCGCGCGCTATTAACGAAATCAAGAAGATAAAAGATAACACATTAAAAATACTGAATTGCAAAAATCGAAGATCTTCATCTTTTTCTATACATATTTAGAACACTTCTCTATTAATAAAAAAAGTTCACCACGAGAGGAAAAAAAAAACAAAAAATAAACCATAACTCACTATCAATATCATTTGTAAATGGAGGGAAATAAATAATTTGACACTTATCTGTGGTGATTCATGTCATTTTTAAAGGTTAGTGAGCGAAAACGAAATAACTTAATGTAAAATAACGATGGAAACACATTTGCGTTTTGAACTTATAAGTAATAGCCCATGGTATGTGTTCTCGCGTTTTTGTAGTAATCAAAATAATCTTGTGGAGAATTTGAGTGTTTCTTTACAACATCGTCTAACTGCATCTGGTCACCCCAGTCCGCCTGCGAAATAATATTTAACTTGGTTAACAGTAGTATGAGGGTTTTTTAAATCGAATATACAATAAGCAAGTTTCCAATTCGGTTGTTTTTAATGATTGTCATATAAAACCTGCGTATTTTTATACCGATTTAGAAAATATTATGTCTTTCCTCAAGAATCAAAGTATCTTAATACCAAATTTTATTTTAATCCCTTCAGTGGTTATTGATTTCTCATACAAACTTCCACCCCCCTTTTCACCCCCTTATAGGATGATTTCTAGGATTAAAACTACCCTATGACCTTTGCCGGGGCTCGGACGATCTCTGTACCAAATTTCATCTAAATCGTTTCAGAAGTTAAAGCGTGAAGAGATAGCAGACAGACAGACACACTTTTGCATCAAAATATTAATATGAATTTGGTCATGTATATATTATGTTTAGTCCAGTTATGGACAGATACAACTAAACAGACACAAATGCGTTGCTGGGCCATATGTACATAGTTTGTAACAAATGTGTGTGCCCCGCGGTGTTATCTTGCTTATCCCACGGGAACACTTCATTTTTGCCTATGTGTTAATCCAGGGTGTCATCTACCTCCATAGCAAATTTTATCAAAACTGGTCGAGCCGTTTAAGCGTGAAGAAGCAACAAACATACAAACACACACATCAGTGTGATATACTTACAAAATTAGGGAACAAGTGTCTCTTCTCATCAAACTTCCTTTCGTTGACACATCGTAAAAGGTACAGCCGTTCCACCCACGGCCATATCATATAATCCAACATCCCAGGTCGATGCCCTCCAAAATAATTTGTTTCTGGAGAATACAGAGAGATCATTAGAGTTACTTTCGATGGGCCTGCATGTCTAGTGGTTGTAGTGATCCTTACTGAGCCAGAGGACGTGGTTACTGATCCCATCCAGGACAAATAATTGTGTGATGAGCAGGGTCATTGGTTCTGTGTGTTTTTAATCTATTATACTATTTATTATCTGCCTCGGTGCAGAGGTAGTGTATGCCACTGCCGTGCTGAGGTCTCAGATTCGATTTCCGGGTCGGACCAAGTGTTACCATTTTTTTAATCAAAACCGGTCAAGCCGTTTCGGAGGAGTGCGACCAAAAACACCGTGACACGAGATATTTATAAATGTATGTACTTAGAAATATAAAAGTATGTTTATCAGCAGTCTGGTTACCACAGTACAGGCTATGCCTAGTTTGGGATCAGACGACCGTGTGTGAGATTTGTCAAGTTTTTTTTTTTCTTTTTAAAAGACAACTCCAACACTAGGAATATGTCCTGTGTCGCGGGGGACTTTACAAACATACATGTATGAAACGGACACAAAGAACACTCAGAACAACAATTTGTAAATCACACAAGTTTCGTCCCATGTGAGGATCGAACCCACAACAATTAACGTAGTAAGAAGCGACCGATTAAACCACTACGCCATCCGTGCAGTCTGTTATTATGAAAAAAAAAATAGTTTTAAAAAACTATGGGTGCCTGTTGTCAATAGTAAAAAGCAACCCGCGCTTTTTTTTAAATTTATTTTCTATTTTTTAGTTTGATTTTCTATAGAAAGCGTGTTATTTAGTTTTTTAAAACTATTTTTTTTTCATTTTTTTTTTAAATTAGTGTATTGTCATCGGTCCTCGATATATCTACAAAGTTTGAACGAATTCTGACCGTTTAAAGTCAGTCAAAATCACGCCCAAAGGAGTCGGTTACAAACATTCAAAAAAACATACAAGTGAAGCTAATATAAAGCGTGTAAGAAAAGAATAGGTATAATATATTCTTACCTCTTGAGCCTAATTCCTTTTCAAATATATCAAGGGTTTGTATGATTTGTTCGCTGCCGAACGCAAAGTTGGTATCGAAGCATTCTAAACTGCCTTTTATTAACTGTGAAAGAAACAAATTCATTAAAAACTATGAAAAATATCATCATCATCATTAACAGCCTTTAATAGTCCACTGCTGGACATAGGCCTCTCCTTAGAAAGGAGGTTTTGGCCTACTATACCACGCTGGCCAGACGGGTTGGTATAGGGTTTGTTTCAAGTTTTCCTTTTCTTTGCACTTTTGTTGTCCTGCATAGTTAGCTCCCTTAGTCGTCTCTTACGACACCCACGGGATGAGTGGGGGTGGTGACAATCCGTATTCTTAATCCGTCACCACACGGACTATACATAAATGTATTTATGGAATACTACCTTTACTATTTGTAATGTACTACTAAACGGGACGGAACGCTAAGTATATATACACTCCCAAATAAAAGAAGAATTTCTCTGTCCAATCAGTTCATATATTTATTTAAATAATTCTAAGGTGACAAACATAAAAATACACAAACACCCACACACACACACACACACACACACACACACACACACACACACACACACACACACACACACACACACACACACACACACACACACACACACACACACACACACACACACCACATTGTTAACCTACTTTTTTTTTTAAACAAAGAATTATACTTAAATATTCTGATATCATTTTACTCTTTTTGTAAAAACAATTATATTTTTTTTGTGCCGTGGGTGTCGTAAGAGCCGACTAAGGGATAATGCTACGCAGAACAATAGCACTGCAGAGAGAAGGAGAACTTAACACCAACTTTGACCAAATGCTGGATATACGCCTCTCCTTAGAAAGGAGGTTTTGGCCTACTATACCACGCTGGCCAGTGTTGGTATGTTTGTCAAGTTTGCCTTCTTTTTGCAGTGCTGGTGACCTGCGTTGTTTTGCGCCCTTAGTCGGTTCACGCCACCCACGGGATGAATTGGGGTAGTGACACTCCGTATTCTTAATCCGTCGGTACGGTACGGTTGCTCTGTATGTTACGCTTTCACAGCTTAACTTTAACGCGATTCTTGACATACATAGGTACATACAATAGCTAGTATAAAATAGTTTTATACTGACCTCGTTAAATCTTTCAATAAGAAGTCTATCTTGAGCTTTGACGTAAGGATCTCTGGAGTGCAGCTGGTTCCTGGTGTATTTCTCGTCCAGATAGTCGCAGATCACCACGCTCTCAAATAAATACCTGTCGCCCTGGTCCGTTGGTATCTCCAGCACTGGTATTTTTACTGAAACGAAAAGAATACGTTGTAAACTCCATTTAGTGGTAGGTATTCCAGGTATATTAATACATGAACAAAATTCTATGAACCCGGTTTTTTTCCTCCCGACTTTTGGTCCAACCGCTATGTCGAACCACGGGTAAGCAAAACTATCCTTGGTCCAACGGAAAGAATTTTTCTTTCCTGCAATTTATTGTCAAGACCCGTGATACAACTGAGGGGCTGTTGTCCAATTAATATAATAATAATATAATAATATATTCTACCACATACACACAACGCCATCTAGTCCCAAACTAAGCAGAGCTTGTACTATGGGTACTAGACAACTGATATAAATACATATATACTTTTTTTTTTGTAAATACATACATATTATACATAGAAACACCCAGACCAAATCAAACATCAAATGTTCATGCACACAAATGTTTGACTTAAGCGGGAATCAAACCCGCGACCTTTGGAATAGCAGTCCGTTACACAAACCACTACGCCATCCAGTCGTCAAATTACATCCACACACAGAACAAATAGATCGTGCTCATCACACAATTGTTTGTCCTAGGGCGGTATCGAACCCTCGAACACAAGCAGTCACAATCACTAACCACTAGACTCAAAGGCCACGTTTTGGTATGAGAAAAATTTAAAAATTACTTACATCTCGGATTCTTACTCCTAAACCACTCCGGTAATCTTAACGGGTCCAGCTTGTAGACTTCATATCGTGCTTTCTTGGCTTCCAGGATGAGCAGGACGCGGTGGCCATAAGGATTCATATCCACATGGTACAGACGAAGCTTGTCTCCTAATGCTGGAGGGGGAAGAGGACCTGGAAGAAGAGAGACAGTTACTTAGCATCTTGCAATAGAAGTTTTTGAATTTAATTACATGTGCAGAAGAACGAGGGATGCTCGACCGGGATGTTACCACAGCTTTATAGAAAACAGGTGTTCTAAGAACCCAGTGCTGAGCATTTCCGTACATAGCATTTGTACACTACCGGCGGCGGACACGGCGGACAAGGTTGGTCATCGGTCGCGTGTCAGAGAACCCCAGGCCTTATAGCAATAGGGTAGTTGACTGTATCATAAATATAAACAATGGCTGCTTCATTAAAACATCGCTGTGGTCACTTTTAGGGGCCATAGCAAAGGCTGAGCTGTGGCCTTTTAGTAACAATTGATAATTCTATTCTCCCACAATTGTTTGTTTTGTTATTGTTTGCTTTAGTCTTTGGTTTGGCGATTTTTTTTTCTCTTTCATATCTCTAAATAATTATTTAGTGTGTTAATAAACGTGTTTTTTTTCATTTCATTTTATTAAAAACAAATATGATAAAACATCTCGTAAAATATAATTATACTAGCTTTTTAAAAGTATTACGAATTTAAATAAATATTAAAATATATTCTTCAACTAGCTGGTGGATCTTCAACTAGCCTTAGTGGGTTCAATCCCCTGACCGAGCAAAATTTTATAGGGTTTTCCTGAGAGAGAAAATAGTCTAAGTAACTCCTTGTCTATACAGCTAGCGGGTGCAGCCACTTTAAAGATTACCCATAACAATTAGACAGATAGACGAACAAACAGACAAAATATATTTAAACTGGTATTAAGGCATAGCATAGGTATCTTGAAAATGACCGTGTGAGTCTGAAAAATACCTATTATTTTGACATTACAAACATACACTTCAATTTAATTTATTTGTGTAGAGTAGTCTAAAATAGTGACGTCATAAGTTGCTATTTAGTACATTCTATATACAAAAATGTCGTTTTGACAGACGATAAAAACTAACTTTCTCCTTATTTTTCTTGTTCAAAAAGACAACTCCCGCAGTAGGAATACATCCCGTGCCGCTAGGTACCCAACAAACATACATGAATCAGACACAAAGAACAAGAGAATGGGTATAATATATACGTGTGTATTCGTGTGGTGACGGATTAAGAATACAGAGTGTCACCACCCCTATTCATCCCGTGGGTGTCGTAAAAGCCGACTACGGGAGTGAACTACGCAGGACAACAGCAATGTAATGAGAAGGAAATTTGAAACAAACCCTATACCAACCCGTCTGGCCAGCGTGGTATAGTAGGCCAAAACCTCCTTTCTAAGGAGAGAACCATAAATATTTTCTGACATCTAACACACAACGCCATCTAGTTTCAAACTAAGCAGGGCTTGTACTTTAAAAGATAAATTGACTTATAGAATACTTATACACTTTCTTTTTGTAAATACATTACATTACACATAGAAAACACCCAAACTCCGAAGCAAATATTTGCAAATCATACAAACATTTGTTCCGACCCGGGCATCGAACCCGAGAGCTCAGCACAGCAGTCTCACACGTTACCACTGCACCACCGAGGCAGATGTACATAGAAACTAAATAAACCATTTTTAAGTACGTTTCTAGCTAAATATCGATACAACGGATAACGCGACCTCGTTGTAAATGGGTTAATGGGATAGGTAAACTATCGATAAACAAGTGACAAGGACACAACAACTTAATGCTAGTGTAAGACAAAGAAGGATAATAAGTATCGATCACGTTTTTACAGTACTTTTAGCATAAGTAGTAACCTTTTTACACGCTTTATATTAGCTTCACTTGTATGTTTGTATGTTTGTTTGTAACCGACTCCTTTGGGCGTGATTTTGACTGACTTTAAACGGTCAGAATTCGTTCAAACTTTGTAGATATATCGAGGACCGATGACAATACACCAATTAAAAAAAAAATAGTTTTAAAAAACTAAAAAAAAACAAAATAAAAAATAGATAATAAATTTGAAAAAAAGCGTGGGGTGCTTGGCATCAAACGCTTTTTTTTTAAATTTATTAAAATTTATTTTCTATTTTTTAGTTTGGTTTTCTATAAAAAGCGTGTTTTTTAGTTTTTTTAAACTATTATTTTTTAGTCGCTTAACTTTACTGATCACTACGAGTTCACTGCTAGACATAGGCGTCTCCATAGGAAGGAGGTTTTTGATAACTAAGTATATCACGCTGACCCGCGGGGTGGGTGCGGGTTTTGTTTCAAGTTCAAATGCTTTGGTTCCCAGTCATCTGGAATTTGGATGCGTAGTCTGGAACCCCTTTTACGCCTCACATTCTCAGCGACTGGAGGGTATTCAGCGCGCCTTCACAAGGCACTTGGCTTTCATCTCTCAAGGCATCACACACAGGTGCAGTAACGAACAGAGACTGGAGTATTTCAAAATGTATTCTCTATCCAACCGCCGCAAGTTACATAAATTCTCTTCCTAAACAAAAAAGTCAATAATAATATCTACTGCAGTGACTTATCAAACCGTATAAGGTTTGCAGTTCCTCGGAAGCCGCCTCGCCATCCCTTGACTAGAACTTTCTGCCTACAACTATCAAGAACTAACTTAGGACTAAACTCTCCTTTGGTGCGTGCATGTCGCGATTACAATATGCTGAATGGTAAAATTGACCAACTGGATATTTTCCACAATTCCCTTATACACTTCAAGGATATGATACTGAAATCGTTTGCATGACTGCCACTTTCATTGTTTGGACTTATCTGTGTTTAGTTTCTAAGTACTATATTTCTGTTAGTCTCGTTCACTTTGGTCTTAATTTTGTTACTACTTGAATGTGTGTCAACCTAACGATGTATACTGTGTATGCCTGTAATTGGTCTACATATAAGAACTATCCTTATATTGAACTGCATATTGAACAATGTTGTATATGTATACTGTTGGCCTGTTGTATAATAAATAAATACATAACTTTTCCTTCACTTTACAGTAGACTGCGTAGACTGCTCCCTTAGTCGGCTCTTACGGCACCCACGGGATGAATAGGGGTGGTGATACACCGTACACTAAATCCCAAATCACACGCACAATAACACTTACCTGGCAATCAATTTTTTGTCTGTGCTCTGATAAACATACTTGAATATTTAAAACGAAAGTCAGAGCTCGCATTCATGACACCCCAGCAGATTCATCACAACTATAAAGTTTTATATATATTGTTTGTGTATATTATTTGTCTGTATGTAACTCAGCAATTATATGTGTATTTTAGTATGTATTTATATATATCTGTCCCACTGTTTATGTCCATCTCCTCAATCTATACTAATATTATAAAGCTGAAGAGTTTGTTTGTTTGTTTGTTTGTTTGAACGCGCTAATCTCAGGAACTACTGGTCCGATTTGAAAAATTCTTTTAGTGTTAGATAGCCCATTTATCGAGGAAGGCTATAGGCTATATATCATTACGCTAAGAGCAATAGGAGCGGAGCACCAATGAAGAATGTTTCAAAAACGGAGAAAATTTATTACTATTGAGAGACGCAGACGAAGTTGCGCGGGTCAGCTAGTTAAGTATAATTATGATTGTTTTAAAACAAAACTCAATTTCTAGTGCCTACATTTCCCCACCACTCAAACGTTGACTGGGAGAAAATGCCTGTGTAATTAAGTCCGCCATCGTACAAGTGAGTTGTAATTTGTGCATAAAGAATTAAAATAAATAAATAAATATTTCTAAATACACAGAACAAGTGATCGAGCCCATCACACAATGATTTATTGACGACCGAATGGCGTAGTGGTTTGTGTAACGGACTGCTATTCCAAAGGTCGCGGGTTCGATTCCCGCTCAAGTCAAACATTTGTGTGCATGAACATTTAATGTTTGATTTGGTCTGGGTGTTTCTATGTATAATAAGTATGTATTTACAAAAAAAAAAGTATATATGTATTTATATCAGTTGTCTAGTACCCATAGTACAAGCTCTGCTCTCTCTCTTAGTTTGGGACTAGATGGCGTTGTGTGAATGTGGTAAAAAAAAAAAAAAAAAAAATTATCGTCGGTGGAAAATGGACCTCCGGCTTGGCACTGAGTCACTACTAGACCAGCAGGCCCATCAATGCAGGTCCAGTTATCTTTTAAAAGTGATAATGTTATACGGTAAGTTCGCCACTGCTTTTAACTTTTCAGTTTATTTGATTAACAAGAGAGATAACATTGTTATCATCGAGTACAACTTGATAAGGTACGTATATATACGAAGCGGATTAAGAATGCAGAGTGTCACCACCCCTATTCATCCCGTGAGTGTCGTAAGAGCCTACTAAGAGAGCAGACTACGCAGGACAACAGCACTGCAAAGAGAAGGAAAACTTGACACAAACCCTATACCAATCCGTCTGGAGCGTGGTATATTAGGCCAAAACCTACTTTCTAAGGAGAGGACTATGTCTAGCAGGCTGTTGATATGATGTGTATGAAAATATATCTAGTAGCTTTCTCCGAATAGATTTTTTTCCCGTTTTTGAAGCTTTGATGCTCGTCTCCTATTAGTCGTAGCGTGATGTTATATAGCCTATAGCCTTCCTTGATAAATGGGCTATCCAACTTTAAAAGAATTATTCAATTCGAACCTGTACTTCCTGAGACAAGTGCGTTCAACCAAACAAAAAAATTCCTCAGCTTAATAATTTTAGTATGAACTAGCTGACCCGCGCAACTTCGTCTGCGTCTCTCAATAGTAATAAATTTTCTCCGTTTTTGAAACATTCTTCATTGGTGCTCCGCTCCTATTGGTCTTAGCGTGATGATATATAGCCTATAGCCTTCCTCGATAAATGGGCTATCTAACACTGAAAGAATTTTTCAAATCGGACCAGTAGTTCCTGAGATTAGCGCGTTCAAACAAACAAACAAACAAATAAACAAACAAACTCTTCAGCTTTATAATATTAGTATAGATTACTACATACTACATTCAGAGTTGCGGCAAAGTCCAAGTTTCAGTTACTTTGATTCCAAATAACAACAATTATTCTCTCAACTATTATTCTATTAAAAATAAGAAAGCGAGTCTGTGTGTCACGCTATTACGACTTCACATCTAGTTAATGGAAAGTCATGCAATTAGACATAAACATAGTCTATAAATTAAAATAGGATGTAAGATTATTTTTATAAAAAGACATTACTATTCTAGGCGACTAAATTAATATTTTCGTACTGCCCTGTTGGGTAGGGGGGAGGGGGGGGGGGGGTTCTTTCTACCAAGCTAGACGTCGTATGTAAACATGGAAATTATTTCTGCATTTAAATCATAATCATTTAATGAAATGATTGTTTGTAGTCACAGCGATTTGATACGTCCACACTTGTGATTTGGTGAAATTTAGTCACAGACAAAGATTTAAATGCCATCAAAATCAATCAAACTTTTTTTTTTCAAGGATTTTAAAATTGTTTTTTTTTTCTTAGACCTTTTGCGAGTCTGGCTCCAGCGTTTTTCTAACTAATCCGCAGGTGTGATTCATCATCATCAACAGCCTATAACAGTCCACTGCTGGACACAGGCCCCTCCTTAGAAAGGAGGTTTTGGCCTACTATGCCACGCTGGCCAGACGGGTTGATATAGGGTTTGTTTCAAGTTTTCCTTCTCTTTGCAGTGCTGTTGTCCTGCGTATTTTGATCCCTTAGTCGGCTCTTACGACACCCACGGGATAAATAGGGATGGTGACATTCCGTATTCTTAATCCGTCACCACACGGAGTGATTTTATGATTGCTAAATCATATGATTTATGACCGGTAATTGTGAATAATTATTCTATTCCTAGTCGTATATTTCCACCCAGGATTTGTCCAAAATATTATGTGATGAGCACCATAATTTGTTCGTGTCTGCGTGTAATTTATCTTTGACATGTATGTATTTAGGAATATTAAAGTATTTTATTAATTTGATTAGAAGATAAATCCTTTTAAAAAAAAGTTGAACCGACGTCAAATAATACCAGAGACAAAGAGCACTAAAAACCTAGCAACGATCGCGGTTATTTGCTGTCATTTTTTGAAGAGTTCCGTTGTCTGTCTCCGAAACTCATCATTAGATCTATATGGAATTTAAATGGGACCATTTCGGAATAAACCCCCTTCGAACAAAAAAAAATCCGTCTATAAATGAAGGGGTTATGCCCGAACATACATAACAAAATATTTAAACATCCGAATTGATAACCTCCTCCTTTTTGAAGTCGGTTAAAGCGGCCTAAGACCAATTACATTTCTTAAGAGTAACCCAATTGTTTTGTTTTTTAAATATACATAAACTTTTATCAAAATAAACTTAAATCCACACCAATATTATAAATACGAAAGTGTGCCTGTCTGTCTGTTACTCTTCACGTTTAAACCGCTGAACCGATTTTGATGAAATTTGGTATAGAGATAGTTTTTATCCCAGAAATCATCTTTAAAGGGGTGAAAAGGGGGAGGGGTATGAAGTTTTATGGGAATTAATAACCGCTGAACGATTTAGATGAAATTTGGTACGGAGATAGTTTGATTATTGAGGAAGGACATAGGTAACTGTTTACCGCGATAACAGAGATACACGCGGGCGGAGCCGACACAAATGGGCCGGGTCGACCGGAGTGATACAACCGCTTTACATAAAACCAGTGTTAAACAGTTCTTTCGTTGATTTTCACCGAGCGAGTGAGGTTACTGAAGGTCTGAGCCCTCAAAGGGCACGCAGTTATGATTCGTAAGTTGCAGGTGATACCTCTGCTTGTTTGCCATTGAAAACACGAAATAAAGAAAAGAGGACTCTTTTCAAATAACCCGATTTTATATTTTTGAAATTGTCTATCAAATATATATTTGACTAGCTGAAACCGTTTCCTGTTCACCGTTTTTGAAACATTCTTCATTGGTGCTCCGCTCCTATTGGTCTTAGCGTGATGATATATAGCCTTTAGCCTTCCTCGATAAATGGGCTATCTAACACTGAAAGAATTTTTCAAATCGGACCAGTAGTTCCTGAGATTAGCGCGTTCAAACAAACAAACAAACAAATTCTTCAGCTTTATAATATTAGTATAGATTGCTTAGATTTTCGATACTTTCTTCAGTCTAACATAAATACTAATAGCGTATAGACAATAGACAAGCAGTAAACATTTAATGTAGTGAGATGCACTTTTTTATACAAACAGGTAGAAGGCCAAAGTAATTTACATAGCAGTTACGAAACGTTGCAAATGACAATACAATGACATCATGCTAAAACAGCTGTTTTGTTGCAAATTGTATATCCAAATTAAATTTCGTTCATTTACATCAAAACGCATTATTATTTGATCACAATATTTAATTTTTTCATTTAAAAGAAGTTTCTTCGATTTTAATATCGTTTTCACTACACTTTTCACCATATTTTCAAAAATAAAATCACAATTTTATCTTACTCATCAATATTTTCAGACTTTCCACTAATTAAAACTGATAATTTGACTAGACATGAAAAAATATTGATTTTAAAGAACAAACATGTTTTTATTTTTCATTCTCCACGGAAATAAATAAAAAATACTTACCAACGTCCCTATGTTGGTAATACGACATGTTGTAACAGTTTTTCACGTTTAATTATAAAGAAAATTGTATAATCGGCGTAATCGCGTTCGCCGATGGCGAAAACCGGTGTTGAAATAACGTCATTCGTAAAATTAACGCTGGAGGGGTTACATATCTAGCGCACATCACGGTTAGGGTGACGTAATCAATAATTTTATTATACATACAGGCGTACTGCGATGCCATTGAATGTTACACTGTGCTTCTTTAAACAACATTGGCCGTATTGTAACTCATTCTGAAAAACAACTGAAATGTTGAATCAGTTTCTATTTGAGAAAAACTTAAAAAAATAGTCTAAAAATTGAATTAAATTGAAGAAAAATAACATTCATGGCAATAGTTTCAAAATTTTAAGTTTACATTATTTTATTATTTTCTTTATATAACATAACAATTGATGATAATGAAACAAGACGCAATTTAAAGGTACATATATAATTTGTAAAACAATTTAGTATTTGGAGGTGGAAATGAAGAACATAAGTCATTTGAAATTAGGTGCATGTATTAAAACGGTGTACCAGTGTATTAAAATAATTTGCCTTTAATAATAATCTACTTTTGATTTTTAAAGAATCAAATCTCGCATGTTACAAAGCATTCACCTTTATCACCTTTTATTCACCTTAAGGATAATCCACAGTAATCATTTTGATTGACGATTGATTATTTTCGAAGCTATTTTAATCAATAAATTATTATTAATGTAAATTAAAATTACTCTATACAGCGTTTCATTACAATCAATATTTTAAAAGATATTAGAGAATTACCGCGGTGCCTTGTTTATAATTTACTGATGGCTTTTCACCACCATTTTCTATTTATTCTTAATCATATTAATAATTTACTATAAAAGTATCCTTAACCTGTATTCCGTTTTGCATTATTTTGAAACGTTTAAATCAAGTAGTTTTGATACCTAAAAATTGACAGAAATATGTTCTACTACTATTGGAAACACACTTATAATACCTATGAAGTTACTTTAAGAACATTTCATACTTATTTAGAGGATTTCAAACAAAAGGAAGTTAATACGTCACACGTTGCAATCTTATGACGTAAGCTAAGTATGTCTATGGCCCCAATTATGACATCATCTGTGACCCGATTATCTATAATCCGACGAAGTACGAATGACCAAAACATTTAACCCAAATACCGTGTATCTAATGTATTTTCAATTCGGTAGGCTATAAAAAGCAGAAGGCCAATCCAAAGGTGTAGTAATTTTTACATAGGTACCTACATTTATTTAAATAAAAATGTTTTGTGCTGATTAATACCGTGTTCGCATTTAATTTTAGAAAATGAGTCATTCTGGAATTTTTAACTTCTGTGTTGAAATATAATACCGAGTTTGTTTTATAAGTACCATAGATTGTATAATTTTTAAGAAGTTATTGTAGGATGCATTGATAAATTTTGCGCTCCGTGAAACTGACCGTGGCCTACATTTAAAGGTCGCATTTATCCTTCATGTGTAGTAATAGTGAAAGTTCTCAAATGAATAGTGTAGATAGTAAAAGTTAAAAGATAATTTGGTTTTCAGGAATTAAAATGTTATTCTCCACGTTAAGTTGTAATTTAAAATAACCACTTTGATCTTTTTTTTTAATACATTGTATTACTAAACGGGTGAATTTAGACTAATTTAAAAACTACTATTTAGTACATTTTTTTTATTTTATGGTATAAAGGGGCAAACGAGCAGACGGGTCACCTGATGGTAAGCAACTAATGCCGCCCATGGACGCCTGCAACTCAAAAGTCACAAGTGTGTTGCAGTCCATGGAGTCCTTAACGCTCGACTCAGTGGGAGGGGGATTCGGGCTCCGGTAAACTTACTCACTCAGTGAAAGGCGACGAAAGAATCGGTTTCCGGTTTTCTGTAAGGCCATGGTATCACTCCGGTCGAGCCGGCCCATTCGTGACAAAGCATGTCTCTCCCACGGTTGAGTTTATGTATTGTGTATTAAATGTACCCATAAAGATATTTTTTTGTTAAAATTATTGTAAAATACTTGATTCTATAAAGTTATACGTTGAATTTCACATTAAGAAATTAATTTTTGTAAGCGTTTTTTAAATTTGAAGTGATAGTCTGTGAGAACCTAAAACTTGCTAGAGAGTTGATCAAAGACTGCAATAAACTTCCTTCTCAGGCATAACATTTTTTGCTTTTTTTTGTTAGAACAGACGAGCTGATGTAAAGTAACCATCTTCACCCATGAACGTCTGCAACTCAGGAGTCACAAACACGTTGCCGGACTTTTAGGAAGGAGTACGATCTTTTCTTGAAGGTTTGAAGGTCGTATCGTATCGTATACATAAAGTTAACTAGCAGACCCACATGATACCCTCAAGTATTAAGGTCTCAGTCTTCATCTTAAGCAGATAGCAGAGTTTTTGTCCTCTCTGTTCGCTTTCCACTATCTCTGTGCTTATTTCGCATACTCATAATCATATACAAAGACATATTGTAATGATTATAATTTGAAAAATGATTAATGAGGGCACACGAATTTAAAAATAAAAGAATGGCCATCGTGATTTAGAGGAGCAGCTGCAATTTCAAACTATTTGTGTATGGGATACAGTGTCCTTGTTGCATAAAAGTTCCAAGCAGGTATACTATCACTGTGATATACAGAAAGATGTTTTTGATTTAATTTTTTTTATTTTGCTACTTCCTTTCGTTTAAAAAAAAAACTTGGTAGATTTCTTAAGTTGAGAAGTAGCATCATAGGATAAAGTGTCAAATGTGTCAATGTCAGTCATAAAAATGTCAACCAATTTTTTTTGCAGACGTTCCAATACTTTTTTATTTTAAGCATTTTTCCACATTACAGCTTCCTTTTCACTCTCATATAATATGTATCATTTGACTCTTTCTATGCCAAACAAATTTTTCTTTACTAATATAAAAAAATCTAACTGTTTTAAGTAATTAATTAAGTCTTAAATACTTACTTTTGCTAACAATTAATTAAAATTCAATAACTTTGTTTAAAAATCTGTAATATAGCGGCAGTTTATACTAAAGCATTTGCTTGAATTCTGTGTGTAAATAGTTGCCGAGTGTTCGTTGTCATAAGCCTTATTTGGTTTAAGTTTTAAAACATTAAGAAGTTGTAGCAGGTGATTAAAGATTTTTAATTAATAATACTTAACTATGCAGCTAACTACGCACTAATTCACATCATTCTACTTGATCTACAATAACTATGATACCAATTAATCGAGTTATAATTAACATTCGTTCATTATGTTTCATCAATCATCAACAGCCCTTAACAGTCCACTGCTGGACATAGGCCTCTCCTTAAATTGGAGGTTTTGGCCTACTATTGTTGGCCAGATGGGTCGGTACAGGGTTTGTTGCAAGTTTTCCTTCTTTTTGTAGTGCTGTTGTCCTGCGTATTTTGATCCCTTAGTCGGCTCTTACGACACCCACGGGATGCATAGGGGTGGTGACACTCTTAAAAATTATACTAATAGTAAAAAAGTTATGGTATAGTAAAGCTAAATACATATACATTTTTTGTTGGAAACAGAATATACAGACAACAAACTAGACAGAGCCTGTACTATGGTAACCAGGCTGCTGATAAACATACTTAGGTATATATTTCTAAATACATACATATTCTAGATAAATTACACCCAGACACAGAACAAATCATCGTGCTCACCACACAACTATTTGTCTTGAGTGGGAATGGAACCCATAACCTTTGGCGGTCACTAAACACGAAACCAAGAGGCTGGTCCATACATACATATTCATAACTACTTAAGTATGTAATAATATTTTCAGCCATCTGACATTTAGCCATCCAGTTTCAAACTAAGCAGAGCTTGTACTATAAAAGCTAGATTGACTGATAGAATACTTATATACTTTTTTGTTTTGTAAATATATGGATATTATACATAGACAATAAACAAACTCAGAAACAATATATTTGTAAATCATACAAACACTTGGTCTGGCTGTCACATATATAATATGGAGTTTGATGATTGGTTGACCCTTTTTGCTTGACCTTGACCCTACATCATCAACTCATCACTTCTACAGTTTTTGAATATACTTAAATATTAACAACACAACTTTAGTGTATTTTATTCTACTTTTATTTTTATTCTACTAAATATTATTACTGTGGAAGTTATAAAGACGGGCAGATGGATGGGTGTTTGGTACTCTTTCACACAAAAATTGTTTAATGGAGTTCCATGACACATGCAACTGGGTAATACATTAGATTAATAAAAGTGTTAAAAAACTTTTATTACTTTTCACAGAATGAGAGAGATTACAAAAGCTCATAACCACCCTTGCCCCCATTTTTAGGAGAAGGGGGCTCAAGGGCATTAACGCACTTGTGACTTTTGAGTTGCATGTGTCCATGGCGGTAGTCGCTTACTATCAAGTGACCCGTCTCCTCGTTAGCCCACCTATCATCAACAGCCTTTAATAGTCCACTGCTGGACATAGGCCTCTCTTTAGAAAAGAGGTTTTGGCCTACTATACTATGCTGGCCAGACAGGTTGGTATAGGGTTTGTGTCAAGTTTTCCTACTGTTTGCAGTGCTGTTGTCTGGCTATATATATATATAATATATATATATATATAATATTCAGTATTCTTAATCCGACACCACACGGATAGCCCAACTATACCATGAAACCATTATCAAAATTTGGTTATCGAAATCGCTCCTAGAAGTCAACCCGAGTCCACCACCAATACCAATATTAAATCCGGTTAAAAAACACATAAAATTTAAATTATTTCCAGTGATGAGCACAGAGCCAGAGGAAGTTGAAGAAGTTGTAATAAAATGCGAAGTAATAGAGATATCAGATGAGAACGAGGAAGAAACTCCAAAAAAGAAGAAAAGGTATGATAACAACTTGAACAGAAAGAACAGAGTGAAAAGAAGAAATTAGAAGGAGATCAGTTACAGTACGACTTTGATGCTTTAATGCTATTAATCTCTTTATGAAAACTCATTGAAGTAAATAAACTACCCATACTAGGTATCCCATATTTTATCTCCCTCCCTCTCGTTGACCACTCTTCTAACCATATTTATGAACCACTAATTTTCACATAGAAATTCATAAATAATATTTTTCGGACATCTGACACTCAACGCCATCTAGTTTCAAACTAAGTAAAGCTTGTACTATTTTTTGTTATGAAAGCGGCGGCAAATAAGCAGACGGGTCACCTGATGGAAAACGACTACCACCGCCCATGAACGCCTGCAACTAAGGAGTCACAACCGAGTTGCCGGTCTTTGAGGAAGGAGTATGCTCTTTTCTTGATAGTTCGAAGGTCGTATCGGAAAGTCGTACTATAAAAGCTAGATTGAGTTATAGAATACATATATACTTTGTTCTGTAAATACATACATACTCGTATTATAAATAGATTTTGTAAATACATACATATTATAAATATGGTAAGAAGTCATTTTTTGCAAACAGAATATCCGCGAATACGGCTATCGGGGTATCTAGTTGTCAGTTGAGATACAAGCGAAACAAGTAAGGTAGGCAAACTTGACGGTATCTGCCATCCAATTTGTGCCAGGTCTGGCTGAAAGATGAATATGATATTCATCAAAAGCCTTTTGTAGTTCACTGCTGGACATAAGCCTCTTTTTAGACAGGAGGTTTTAGCCTACTGTACCGCGCTGGCTAGACGCGTTCGTATGGCGTTGGTGTCAAGTTTTCCTTCTCTTTGCAGTGCTGTTGTCCTGCGTAGTTAGCTCCCTTAGTCAGCTCTTACGGCTAATGAATAGGGGTGGTGACAATGCGTATTCTCAACGTTACCACACGGATATTAGTGAGCACTATTGCCTCAGGGCAAGTTAAGTCTTCGCTCCCGGTTGCCATACGAACATTTCTGGCAATCGTTACGTGTAGTTGGAGGCCTAAAAACTGTTTTTCTACTGAACTTCGATATCGCCTAGTAGTTAAGTTTCCAGGTCTGATAGCAGTTCCGCGTAAAAAAACGAAGTTCAGCCGTGTAGTAGGAGACTAAAAGCGGACCCAACCTAGTTTGGGGAAAGGCTCGTAGGATGGTGATGATGATGTAGTACTATTGCAGTACAGTGTATTCTAGATTACTAGTATCTATGTTATAAAATCGTTAAGTTGGTTTGTGTACGATTCAAAAACTCTCTAAGTACTGCACCGTTTGAGCGAGATACAACCCACTTCAAAGATTGTTTTGATATTTTTTTCGCGTCAGTTTCGTTCCTCATTTCTCATCAAGACAATCACAATGTGCCACAGCAATGCGTGGCCGGGTACAGCTTGTATTTATAAAGAAAAATAAACAATTCTTTTTGCTTCTTTTTTTGTCATAAGCAATATATCCTGTGTCTATTTGCCTGCCTATGTGACTTTACAAACATACATGAAACGGACACAAAGAATACCCAGACTCAGAACAACAATTTGTGGATCACACAAAGTGTCGTTCGTAGTAGGAGGCGCGGCGACCGCTTAAACCACTACGCCATCCGTACATACTGGGCCAGTATATATGACTTATTAATTTTTTTATAGGATAAGAAAGCGTTCAATACCAAAAGAGAGATCCAAATGCGACCTATGTCCAAAGACATTCACCACCAGGTATGAACTGAAGAAACATAAGAGGACCCACACCGGTGAACGGCCGTATATGTGCACCGTCTGCGGGAAGACGTACACACAGCTTGGACACCTCAACATACACAAGTTGTCACACGAAGGTATGTTTACACATTTCATAAACTAGGCTGAGCCAGTACTATAGTAACCAGACTGCTGTGCAGTACTATAGTAAACATACTTATGTATTACTAAATACATACATCATCATCATCAACAGCGTTTAATAGTCCACTGCTGGACAGAGGCCTCTCCTTAGAAAGGAGGTTTTGGCCTTCTATACCACGCTGGCCAGACGGGGTGGTATAGGGTATGTGTCAAGTTTTCCTTCTTTTCGCAGTGCTGCTGTCCTGCGTTATTTTGCGCCCTCAGTCGGATCTTACGACACCCACGGGATGAATTGGGGTAGTGACATTCCGTGTTCTTAATCCGTCGCTACATGGACAATACATACATGTCATAGATAAATTATACTCAGAAACAGAACAAAAGATAGTGCTCACCACATAATTATTTGTTCTGTGATAGAATCGTACCTACATCTTTGGCTTAGCAGGCAGAGTCACTAACTATCAGACTAAAGCCAGTCCCATTATAAAATGTTGAAAGAAAGAGTGTCCTTGGAGTTTTTTCCTTTTCTTTTCCATAGGATCTTAGTATTGGAACAGGCGAACAGTGTCACAGCTGTTTTGACTAACTTTTTCAATTCTTCGGCCTCGATGGTGCAGTATGCGACTGCTGTGCTGAGGTCTCGGGTTTGATTGCTGGGTCGGACCAAGTGTTTGTGTGACTGCAAATATTTGTGGTGTATGGGTATTGTCTATATGTAATATGTATGTATTTATTTCCAAAATATATATATAAGTATTTTAATAGTCAATCTAGCTTTCATAGTACAAGCTCTGCTTAGTTTGAAACTAGATGGCGTTGTGTGTCAGATGTCCGAAAAATATTATTAATATTTATAATATACCTGTTATGATTTATAGATATTTTTAAAACTAATAGGTTGAAGTTCTCTTCTTTTACTTCAAAAGGCTTAAGACAGCCAAAATAGAAAAATAAATGCAATTATTCTGAAATCAATTTGATATAGTTAAGTTATAATTTTACACAATGATTTGATTAAGCAAGATAGCTAAAAGAAGCGGCCGTCAGCCAGGTGGTCTGAGGTCTTCCTCTGCCCCCCTTTATAGTAGCCACAGAAAATCACTTCCTCACGACATGATCCTTGGTTCTACGCATTACATGACCGTACCATCTTAGCCTGGACTCGAAATATTAATATGAATAATTGAATATTTTGGTAACGATATAAAAACCAAATAGAAACAGTAATTGACTGCACGGATGGCGTAGTGGTTTAAGCGGTTGCCACGCCGCTTCCTACTACGTCGAGTGTTGTGGGCTCAAACCCCACTTGGGACGACACTTTGTGTGATCTACAAATTGTTGTTCTGAGTCTGGGTGTTCTTTGTGTCCGTTTCATGTATGTTTGTAAAGTGGTAAAAAGAAGAAAAGAATTGTTGGCTTTAACGGGTTCAATTCCGACTACAAAAGTTTTTATTTTAATTTTATTTCTGTTTCAGGTGTAAAAAATTTCAACTGCTCAGATTGTGGCTCAGCATTCTACACTAAGGCTGATCTGGACCGCCACGAGAGGATTCACCTCGGGATCAAACCCTACGTCTGTGAGATATGTTCAAAAAGTTTTACGCAGAAAAACAATTTAGTGATGCATGTAAAAATGCATGTAGGGGATAGGGCCCATCAGTGTGACGTGTGCAACAAACGGTTCATGACACGCAGTAAACTCACGTTGCATGCAAAAAGGCATGAAAAAACAAAAAAGGTTAAAAATAATTTAGATGCTATCGAAGATGCATTAGATTGTTGTTAAATTAAAGAAAAATAGTTTACGGAGATTTCTGGTTTTGTTTCTGTGTGAAAAGAAACGTATTTGAACCATAGATTAAAACAAAGTGAGATGCAAAGATGGTATTGTTTCTGTGGAAAAAGAAATGTATTTGAACCATAGATTTATAAAAGGTCTATAGATATAAATAAAGAATTGAAAGAGGGTATTGAGTTCGAAGTCCGGCAAAGCACTTACGTCAAGATGGCATTGAGGTATATTTTTTTGTATGTGGATTTCTAGAAAAATTACGAGAATTGGGCAGTTCTTGACCAGAACAGTAGACTGCAATTAGGTTGCTGAATTAACTGATTGGAGTCTGAAAGACTCCCCACTATAGTTTTTGGGAAACGAATGTGAAATGATCAGTCCACGATGATACCACGTCAAGCGCAAGTTAATAGCAGGTGCTATTACCAGCATCCGTAAGCGACGGTAATTTCCTTGAGTTCACCTTAGTTCGGATGATTTAAAAACTAAATAAACACACGCTTTAATAAGAAATCTTTCGCATCTTTCTACCATCCTTCCACGCGGCAAAAAAACATCATGGATCAAATCCATTTTAAGGAATTTTTATCTCTTATAAATAATCTGTAGAACAAATTATCGCTAGCGATATTCCCAGGCTGATACGACCTTTTAAACTTCTAGAAAAGAGTGTATAAACCTCAAAAGCCTCAACGAGCTTGTGACTCTTGACTTACAGATGTCACCATGAGTGGCGTTAGTCATTTACCATCACGTGTCCCATATTTTTTCGGACATTGACACACAACGCCATCTAGTTTCAAACTAAGCTGAGCTTGTACTAAGAAAGCTAGGTTGACTGATAGAATACTTATATACTTTTTTTTTGTAAATACATAAATATTATACAAGAAATATTTGCAGTTCATAAAAACATTTGGTCCGACTCGGGAATTGAAACTGAGACCTCAGGACAGCAGTCGCATACGCTACCACTGCACCACCGAGGCAGTCTTCCTTCCTTCCCTCGTTTGCCCCTCTATCCCTAAAAACCGTATTAAAAGGTTTAACCTTATTAAATTAATTACTGTAAAAATAGTATTTTCATAAATTTTTAAAATGAATTTATTTAAAATTTAACAAAATGGAACTCAAATACGTTTCTATACAGCAACAGAGAATGTAAAATAATCTGAGGTCCTAAGCAATCATATACTGTGATTTTATCATTTGTAATCAAGATGGGACGTCAGAGAATGTTGTGCGTCCAGTGACGTCCACTCATGATGTCACGACTCGATTGGAAGTCACGTTCACACACTTGACTTCCACATTATATGTGAATTAAATTATAATAGTTATATTTTTTTTTATTATTCGGTATAGTATAAGGTTTGTGTTTTAATAAACTTAAGCATTCCGGTATTATGTTGTTTTATTTGGTCGTTTTTAGGTATACCACACATGCTACAGGTCGGTGGTTGGGGGACATACGCGATCTACTTTTTTACAGTTACAGTAGCCTCCCTTCAGTGAGTACGGTGACCACTCCCTGTTATATGATAAGAGCCCTCCATCCCTCCTCCTCTTCCCCCCCTTGTGTTTACATAGTAGGTAATTAACAACGCTTACCATATTTGAACAGAGTCCAAAAAAACGCTCAATTAACTAAATGAATGTGTAATTGACTACGTAAAATCTACCTGAACGGGTTACGTTGTATGGGTATGTTCCCTTCTCTCGACCCACCTGTGGGTAGTGATGTACCAGATAAGTGTGATGTACCATATCCACGGATAGCCGCGGAAAAATAAAGATCTTATTTTTTTTTTTTTTTTTTTTTTTTTTTTTTTTTTTTTTTTTTTTTTTTTTTATTTAAAAAAAGACAACGCCCGCATTAGGAATATATATCCTGTGTCGCGGGGGACTTTACAAACATACATGAAACGGAGACAAAGAACAGCCAGACTCAGAACAACAATTTGTGGATCACACAAAGTGTCGTCCCATGTGGGGTTTGAACCCACAACACTCGGCGTAGTAGGAAGCGGCGTGGCGACCACTTAAACCACTACGCCATCCGTGCAGTCAGATCTGTGATTCGTTACTTTGTAGAGGATCTCAAACGTATTTTTAACTGACTTCAGAAGAATCATTCAATTATTTCTTGCAGAACATAATACACAATCATTTTACATCTATCACTGGATGCAATGTAAATTATATCTTTTTTTACCCGTGGAAACCCCCTCTGGCCGTCACCCCACCGGGGTGTGCGGCGGGACGGTGTGTGGGAATCGAACCGACTAAAACCACACGGTGTGCCACTTCGCGCTTGAGATAGGAGGGGTCCGGGAACAGCTGATGTTAAGACATCCGGACCCCTTCCAGCGCCTGGTTCGGGCACCACCTTTGGATAAACTCTCGATTTAGGCCTCCTCGCGGCCGGCCACTATAGCTGATGGAGGAGAAAACCCGCCCCGTCCACCCGCAGAATGTAAATTAAATCTGACCCGGCCCCGGATCCACGATTTTTTCAAACGGGAACAAGAAAAACGGCCACTCTCCAGAGTTTGTGATAAATAAGTTAATAAAACCTACAAATATATAATATATGGTTGACATTTGTCGTGATTGGGACATAACAATATATCCGTACCTTTAATAAATCCCGTTGAATTTAATAATTTCCCGTCAATTATGGACCGTATTTTAAAATTATTCTTTTAGTCGAAGTGGTATACTTTCAATGTGTTCCTATTGCCATTAAGTCAAGAACTGATGATAAGATGCTGGAGAACTGAGGGAAACCCTTAAATTATTTATGCTTCTTACCGTGTTTCGTCTTTTTTCTAGTCGTTTTCTAGTCATTATCTCATGTTGCTGAGCTGATGATGAAAGGGTCCTTGACTTTTAGGAGTTAGGGGGTCTCTCTCTACAATATAATCACGTATTGACCCTTGTGGGCGCACCGAAGTAGGTGAAGCCGTTTTGAAATCTAATTAGGTTTACATCATTATATTTGGTTACGTTTTAGAGGAACACTTTGTCTTGAAGGGACATTATAATCGTTCCTCTAAATGTGTATCTATAAACACGTACACAGAGGCGTATTAAACGCTTTCAGATTCTCAGCTATGATTTTAGTTCCACTTAACAGGGGGCAAGCTTATTGCCGACAACTAGATGTTTTTAAGCTATTGCATAGCTTCTATCGCGGGCCTTGAGCGTGGAGACCGAGTCCAGAAATTCCGTAACGAAAATAACCTAACAACTCCCACTCCGACCGGCACAGCGGTGATACTTTTCAGTTTCTATCGATCTATCGATGCCAGCCATCAGCCATCTATCGATGAATAGCAGAACTTTTTTTAAGGTAGGGTGTTCCTTTGACGTGACAAAGAGGGGAGACCAGTTTATTTTTATTAATGTAATAACATCCACATACAATACCTCCCCCCCACCAAAAATTTTATAATTGCATTGAGGTCCCTTCAAAATACCTCCCCTTCTATCCCCTCCACTTTTTTCATTTATCCCCCCTTTGATTTTCTCGGTACCTGGAGCACTTGGACTCCCATGTTTGGGTTTGTCTGAACCGGGAAAAGGAGACGAACAATCTGGCCCCTACAGATTTTTTAGCTGGTACCCGCGACTTTGTTCGTGCGGAATTTGAAAACACTGCCTTAGTGGGTTCGATTCCGGAGCCGGGCAAAATTCTATAGGGTTTTCCTAAGATAATTATTTAATACTAGCTGGTACCCGCGACTTCGTTCGCGTGGAATTTGAAAACGCTGCCTTACTGGGTTCGATTCCCAGCCGGGCAAATTTCTATAGGGTTTTCCTGAGATAATTATTTAATACTAAGTTTATTAATACTAAGTTGCTAATAAAAAAATGCTATTATTAACGCTTTACCGCGGCAGTCCCCCAGTGCCACACGTCTTTTTTTTTAATACTTAAACATATTTATGTACATATTTCTGAAGATATAAATACATATTATATCCAGACACTGAACAAAGACCGTGCTAATCCCGCTATATTTGTCCTGGATGAGAATCGAACCTACGACGCCTAGCTTAGCAGGCAGGATCCACTAGATCAACAGGCCCTTCAATTACCTACTTTATCTACACTATTTATACTAATTTGATAAAACAGAAGAGTTCTGTTTGATAATCCCGCTGATCTCTATAATTTTAATGATTATTTTTAAATAGGATGCAGTATTTATTTAGGATTATTATAGGCTATAAGTAGCCCCCTCCGTGCCTCGGAGAGCATGTTAAGCCGTCGGCCCCGGTCACCATATAAACATCTGCTTCAATCTATACTGGTAGTCTGGGCCCGAAAAAGTCCAACAAGTCTTTCTACAGAACTTCCATATCGCCTAGTTGTGGAGGTCTAAAAAACTGAAATAATAGGTTTTTTCATGCTTACATGGTTATTTGCACGATACCTATGCCTAAAAAACAGTTTAAATATTTTTTGTCTGGCTTTCTGTCTGTTTGTTCCGGGTAATCTTCGGCTCTAAAGGCTGGACCGATTTTAATAATATTTTACTAGCTGTCTATATAAGGAGTAACTTAGACTATTTTTTCTCTCAGGAAAACCCTATAAAATTTTGCCTGGTCCGGGAATCGAATTCATTAAGGCTTTTAAAATTCCACACGAACAAAGTCGCGGGCACCAGTTAGTATTTAATAAACATTAAGTGGGCGTGGGAGAGGCCTATGTCCAGCAGTGGACTGCCATAGGCTGATGATGAATTGGGCGTTTCTCATGCCTCTGTCTATCCCATAGTGATATAACCTAAAGAGAACAAGAGCGCCAATCTTGCAATAAAGGCAACTTGCAACAATAGTCGAGATCTGTGGTTGGCTGGGGAATATGAAGTGTTGATAAGTAGCCAATCGCTGGTTAGCTAAACAGAGACAGAGGGAACTATCGGGCATCCATCTCTCTCGTTGCCTGTATCGCTTCCACTTACAGGCAGCTGTACCCTCTATGGTCTACCCCTTCGGCGGGCGGTAACAAACCGGGTATATGGCGGGTATATGTATATATATCTACAAACATTAAGTCTTCCAAATATGATACGCTTCTGTACGCCATATTGTTTATTAAAAACTAGCTGACCCGCGCAACTTCGTCTGCGTCTCTCAATAGTAATAAATTTTCTCCGTTTTTGAAACATTCTTCATTGGTGCTCCGCTCCTATTGGTCTTAGCGTAATGATATATAGCCTATAGCCTTCCTCGATAAATGGGCTATCTAACACTGAAAGAATTTTTCAAATCGGACCAGTAGTTCCTGAAATTTGTGCAAAGAATTTTTATCACGTAGATAACTTACATACAATCAAATGTTTAAACATACACAACAAATATGGCGATGATATGTAAATAAACAAAGAGCTTTCCACTAGAAGCTTTTTGTTTGCATCTTTTACACGAATATCCTTTTATTTCCATATAGTGTCATGTTACAAAGACTTGTACCAAACGCCCTCGGTTTTATTCGTACAGAAAGTAATTTGATGTCATAGATATCGTAATTATTGCACCATTTTTTTAACGAATCGTGGGAGTGCTATGTTTCGGCACTTATTGGCCAGGGACGATCGAAAATACCGTCGCATCAGCCTTAATAGTCCACTGCTGGACATAGGTATGTCCTTAGAAAGGAGGTTTGGCCTAAATATGGAGGTATGGCCCATCATCATTATTAGTAAGGGTAAAGGTAAATGGTAACAAGATATAGATGATGATGATCCACTCAACTTGTGACTCCTGAGTTGCAGACATTCATGAGCGGCGATGGTCACTTTCCATCAGGTGGCCTGTCCGCTCGTCTGCCACAACTATCATTAAAAAAAAACACGCTCGCTCTTTTATAATCACCAAATAGTTTCAATAAAACTTAAAGGTCAAGTCGATATTAAAACCTTGTTTATTTAACTCGAAACCTGCAGACAAATATCATATTGAAATTATAAATAACGTCCCATCAAAGTTAAAAGAAAATTGATCAAAACTTACAAACTTTCTCGATAAAAATGCTAACGGAAGGCGCTCATTGAATAGATAATTTTGTTATTTTTTAACGGACTAATAAAGTCTTGTGGTATAGTACACTTTAATTCATCATCATCATCATCACCTCAGCCTATGCTTGTCCACTGCTGGACATAGGCCTCTCCCAATGATTTCCAGCGGGGACAATACATCGTTAGTTTTAAAACTAAAAAAATATGTAGGTACATATGTATTAAACCACTGCACGAATGGCGCAGTGGTTTAAGCGGCCACCTCGCGCGCATTCTTACTGCGCGTAGTGTTGTGGGTTCGATCCCCACATAGGACAAGACTCTGTGTGATTTTCAAATTGTTGTTCTGAATCTGGGTGTTCTTTGTGTCAGTTTCATGTATGTTTGTAAAGTCCCCCGCGACATAGGATATATTCCTAGTGCGGGAGTTGTCTTTTAAAAAATATATATATTTATACCTACATATAAAATTACCTACTTGCCCAAACTGATTCATCGGCGCAGTCTAAAATTTAGAGTCTAAAGTTTAGACAACAGTTTCACAGAAAGAGATCACTGCGCCCAGACCCCTTAACCCTCCTCATGGCAGTAATGGTTCTTTGGTGGAACCGTATGGGCAACGAACTTTAAGTTTTGACAGTTGATGCTTTTTATGTTGTATGCACCCACTAAGAAAGAATTTCGTAAATAACCCTCCCCCCCCCCCCAAATACGGTAAAATAATGAATGAGCTGTCCGTTTGGTGACGGATTTAGAATACGGAATGTCACCACCATGTCGCAGGACAATAGCACTGCAAAGAAAGGGAAAACTTTAAACAAACCCTATATCAACCCGCCTGGCCAGCGTGGTATAGTAGGCCAAAACCTCCTTTCTAAGGAGAGGCCCATGTCCAGCAGTGGACTATTATAGGCTGTTGATGATGGTGTTGATGAATGAATGACTTTTCAAAGTTAGAAACAAGAAATAGGAAAAAAGTTTATTATACGTACGTTCCGGTCTTTTAGCCCTAAAATTAAAGGGTTGACACAGTTACTGGAGTAGACTGGCCTGTTGGTCTAGTGGTCCAGCGACCCTGACTGCTACTGACCAGAGGACTGGTTCGATTCCCACCCAGGACAAATAATTGTCCCATGAGCACGGTCATTTGTTCTGTGTCTGGGGGTCATTTTTTATAATATGTATGTATTTAGAAATATATAAGTATGTTTGTTAGCAGTCTGGTCACTATAGTACAGGCTTTGCCAAATTTGTGTAGACTTTTATGTAGACTCTAATGTCATAGATCAACACACAAAAGCAACAATCTCTGTTTTGTTAAATAGTAAGCAAATAAATTTAACAAAAATCAAACCCATAAAAAATCTATGATATGCCTGTGCCGATCTACAACCGCCCGTTTCCAAGGGATTGAGCCTTATGAGAAGAAAGGGCAAACAAACTCATGGCCACTCTTTTGCAATTCACAGATAGATACAATGGCACTATTAAATATACCACAACATTGTTTTGATGTGTGCCAGTATGTCCGTTATTAAGGACTAAAAGGTCTCCAAGCTGTGTGTACATCTTTACGTATTTCTAAATACACACTAATCTATACAAATAAATAAAATTGGAGTGTCTGTTTGTAATATTAAAATAACCGCTTTTTACTAATTGCATTTGTATGTTTACACGGTACATATGCCAAAATAACATTTATTACAATTTTTGTCTGTTTGTCCCAGGTAATCTCTGGAACGGCTGGACCGATTTCGACGGGACTTTCACTGGCAGATAGCTGATGACATAAGGAGTAACTTAGGCTACTTTTTTAGACTAACTTCGCCCCGCGGCGTTGCCCGCGGTTAAAATAACAACAAACGCGGGTAACACCGCAGGTCTCAGCTAGTTATAGATAAAAAACAGAGGAACACAGAACGAATAATAATCGTGCGCATCGCACAAATTTTGTCCTGGGTTGGAATCGAACACACGACCTCTGGCTATGCAGTCAGGATTGTTTAGGTACCGCTAGATCAACTGGCCATGGTTATACACACTGTCTTAAATAATGTCATTTTTTTTTTTTAAGAGACTACTCCCGCACTATGAATAAATCCTGTGTCGCTGGATTCTTTACAAACGTACATGATACGGACACAAAGAACACCCAGACCCAGAACAACAATTTATGAATCACACTAAGTGTCGTCCCATGTGGTGATCGGACCCACAGCACTCAGCGTAGTAGTGAGCGGCGTGGCGACCGCTTAAACCACTACGCCATCCGTGCAGTCTATCGTTATATGGTAACGAATAAAATGAATCTAATGTGGCAATGATAACAATAATTGTTGAAAAGTGCAACAGATAACTAAAAAAATTACAAGTTCCAAAGAAATTTACACATTTTCGAACAATATTTCGAACATCTTCCTGACATAGTCGGGTAAAAAGTAACTTAAGTATTTTGCTCACGAACAACCCACGCATATAAACTAAGCAAACTTTGCTTTATATATAAAGGGGATCTCGCTCTTGCCGAGCCATTCCATCTTCAGCATTGGTGTCAGCGCCATCTATACTGTAGACATAATAACCACTTTAAAATGTTGAAACTCACAGCTATTGTGTCACTCATGCTCATTGGTAAGTTAATAATATAATGGTAATTTATTAATTATTTAAAATGAGGTTAATAAACAGAGAGTCAAATAAAAGTTAAATAGTTTTGACGAGTTAATTTACTTTACGAGTTTCTTTGTTATTTTATTCGTATTTTTTTTGTGTAAACATTTCAAAGTGTATGTATAAGAGATCAATGTAAGTATCAAATAGTATAAAAACTAATAATTATTATTTATCAGCGACATGGTCACAAGCTGTTTCAAAACGTCATAAAAAAGAGGCCACAGCATCAAATAACTTTCCTTCAGGTCAGTCGTGACAGGATTTGTGTTAGATTGTCAAACACGAGTGACGTTAATGACAGATATATGACAGCTGTTAAATTTTGAGTAGAGTAGTATCCAGTAGCTATCAGATCAGTAGGCAGAGTAAATTATAGACAAGAAATTTTAATAATGTTTATTAAAATGAAACAGATTCCTTCAGGAATAAATAAAAACACATTTTTGGACATTCAAATAACTTAGCGACAAGGACATAAAATAGCGTCATAGAACATTTTTCTTTCTGTTTTATTTGGCGTATTTTGTCTATTGTTTACTCCGTCTACGTGATAAATGACAAAATTTAATGTGAATGTTTATTGTTAGAACAGATAAATGTTGTACGAGTAGAAGAGATCAAATTTTTCGGAGTTGAATTATTTATTTAAATCCGTCTATTGATTCTAAAAAATGAATAGTTAATTATAATAATAATTGATGTCCTTTTACTATTTTCAGTAATTTTATGCATGCTATTTGTCAGAATAGACTTATGTGTTTGTTTACTGTTAATTTAGATTATTCATTGGCCTTTAAATAGTATTATATTATGTATGTGTATTCGATGTATTTGATACTCTATCTTCTCAATATTAACATTTTAGAATACTTTATGATTTATTCGAAGTGCCGTTTAAATTATAAAAAATATTAAGCCTAGTCTAAAGCTTTCCACATGTTACAATGTGAGTTTCTCAGAAAAGATAGAAAGATAAACATTCTATATAGTTACGAAATAAAAAAATACCCCACACATAATATTTTTATGTCATTATCACTTTTATGACACGAGTCAGGCAATTGACAGCTGTCAAATAAGACAGCTCTAGTTCTACAACGATTGTAGTCATAAGATACTAGAGATAAGACTAGTATTTAAGTAAGATGTCAATGTTGACCAACTATATTTCTGAACGCAGGCAGCACACTCTGGGCTGCAAGCCTATCGTGTGATTCCTGTGGCAGCGAGTGCGCCTCTGCATGCGGTACCAGACACTTTAGGTCTTGTTGCTTCAACTACTTAAGGAAGAAGAGGGGACCTGAAGGAATCAAGGTAGGAGTCTTAAAGCTTTAATAAATAGGTACGTTAACTGGAAGATGTGATAACACACAAATTCAAACCTTTTAAATAAAGTTTTGTTTTGTTTCAAACTAGATAAAGCAGTAACAATACTTCTGGTGTATAAAAAGTAAAGTAAAGTAGCAACTAGTATAAAAAGTAGTTGTTCTTGAAAGGCATAAAGTACTTAATTTAAATATATTTATAAATCATTAATTTAGTACACTAATAAAAAAAAATGTTAAAATAATATGTCGGGTACCACAGGGATTAACCTTAGGCCCTTAATTTTTGTTGTGTATTACTCAACGAAAGCGCTAATAAATTTTCTTGATATCTTTTTATATTTACAGTTCTATACTCCGACCCAAGATATGAAGGAGAGCCAGCCCAGGTCGAAGCTACCCATGTTCGTCGTTGAGAATATCCCTATCCCTGAGCAGTGGCTAACCAATATGCTGACCAATGAAAATCATCCTTATTTTGCTGGAGATATGGCCGAAAATCATTTCTTTGATGCTTAATATGTTAACTTTATGGCATCACTTGGTTGGAAATGTTACCATACATGTTAATGAAGAAAATGTGACTTTTTTAGTTTAGCTATTTTTTTATTCATTTGATTGTATGTTCGCATATTCCAACCTAGTCAGTTTAGTATAATAGTATTTAAATCTCTAATTAAACTTACTAATTTCAGTGCAAAGCTATGTATAAAGATTGAAAATGATGTAATTTTTTATATTAATATATTTTCGTAAATATTATGTCTATAATGGCTGGATAAATAGACATAATTTTTATTTATTTTTTTAGATAAGATACATAAAATATTTGAAATGATTTTAAATGATTATTGAACACAAATAAATAAAATTTCAATATTCAAAGCTGTGTTTTATTGCTATTAAATGGGCACTTTGGGCACTGGCCTGTTGGTCCACACCTTATTGATTCTGATTGCTGAGCTGGAGGTCGTGGGTTCAATTCCCCCCAAATAATACACAAATAATTGTGTGAGACCAGAATGCCCGAGTTCCAGAAGGAAATCTCACCAGTTTCTTACCAATCCGGCTGGTGTGCTCCGATTTCGCTCTGGCAGTGGCTCATTTGAGGGACCTGCAGGCAAAGTTTTATTGCTTTTTCAGCGTGCTGGTGACATCACCTACCGTCGCTGCATTAACCCATGCTTGGTAACATTCCTGCTTTCGGCAGAACGCCGTTTTGCAGGTTCTGTCGAACCAAGGCTTGGATCTGCCACCGATGGGAATGAATGTAGATAGAACCAATAGTGCCATGTCCTGAAGCATAGTATCAGTGACAGAATCGGCAACGAAACAAACGCGCTTCCATGGGTAGGATGCAAAGAAAGACCGCATCTGATCCCAGTCCGATGACAAATTTCGCCTATTTAAAAAAATCTTAAAAGTCCAATATCTTTAAAATGGTTAGGTTTGGCATATTATGGTCTTTGATAGTGAAATCTATCAGAAATGATGGCAACTAAAATCCCTCACAGTATCTGAGCCGGCTTATCCAGTAAACCTGTACATATAAACACGGTATATTTATATAAAAGCCACCGGCACTCCGGGAGTGGCGATAGAAGAAAAAACTTCAAAATTTCAACATTTTTGAGTATAATAGGATTTTTTTTTGGTTGGAAAAGTTTCGACATGAATATAAATATCTATGTTGTATTTACACGATATATGTTTATATCATATATAGTTATATTATCAATGTATTTCAACCCAAACTCAACTCTCGTGTAAACGGGGCCAATATATGTAGATAATATATACAGAGGTGTGTCGCGAGTTCATTGCTTTTTTCCCATCTCAAAAAATACATTCATTTGTTTGTTGTTCAAAAACGCCCACTACACTTCTTTAGGCGTAGTAGTATATATATATATAAGTACTACTACATCTAAAGAAGTATTCTCTTCAAAAACATATTTTTACATTCATCATGTTAGTATAGTTAAATGAAACTAATATTAGTTTACTTATTTTACTACTGTACTAAGTTAGTGTTGCTGTAACTGTATACTGTAACTAACTTTCCACTTCCATTCGAATTCTCTGGGGGAATAACCCAATTCTCTGCTAATTGAAAATCTGCGTTACTCACGTCGAGATAAAGAATTGCATCTAGTTACATACCACCTAGGTTATGTGTTGAATGCTGTAGGCAGCCGATAGTTGCCTAGACCTCGTCTGAGAGTAAACATTTATACCTTGGTGTTTGGATGGGTTACCACCTGGTTATATTCAATGCCATCCCTCCAGCTCAGAAGAGCAGACTGAGTGGGCTTGCAGACGTACTAGTGACCTTATCAGATATGAGTACAGTCAGATCATTTGCGTAGCCAACTATACAATAGTAGTTTAGTTAGCATTCGGTTATGTTATGATGGTTATGTTCCACAACTGCCATACTCAATTTTAGGTTCAAAGTTTGACATCAAGTTGCTTATATTCATTTTATGACTTACAGGAATAAAAGTAAAGGGTAGGCGTTGATCAACGCAGCGTTGTGGGTAGGCACAACACTCCTAGTAACTTCAGAGATTGGACTCCTTGCCAGGGACGTGGGTTGTTCATTAAAATACGTAGCTGGAATGTAATCAATATATTTGCCGAAGAGAACTGTTTATAATCTTTTTTTATTTTCCGCTTGCTTCTGTCATTAACCTTCTGGGGTGATATCAAAACCTCAATGCCACTTAACCAATTATATAATTCAAAATATGAACGAAATACAGTAGATCTTTTTATGAGTAAGTATCAAAGGGCAGCTGCAAACCGTACTATTCTTGTGCTGAGCCTAGTGGTGATCCAGCCTCGTCCTGTTTTACCTTGTGTATTATGGCTCGAGCCGGACAGAAAACAGGACGAGGCTATTTTTTCTTTCTGTCGAAGGCTCCCTCAAAATCTGTGAAGATCTCAAAGCCCTTTCATTGTACAGCTGCCTCTTTTTGTCCTATGACCCAACGTAACATGGAAAAATATAAAGCAAATGTGAAATTACACATCTCGCTCCTGACTGATCAGAGAAACGTTTCTTACACATACGCACACACACACACATACCACAATGTAATAATAGGGGTTAAAGTATGAAATTGCCGTTGCATAGAAACAGATACTGTTACGAGCGGGGTATACAATAAAGAAAAGTAGTGGGTTAACTACTTTTATTGCACTGTATTTACAAACACTCACTTTTACAAACAAGAAATCACTATATAACTCGTTAGTCGCCTTAGAAATTCACTTCGATGTTAATTCGTTGTGTCGTAAAACAATACTATCCCGTACGGCCAACACGCTCCACTTTTATAGGGCTATCATAATTACTTGACTAATCCCGAGGATCCGATGGAATGTTCCAGACAGAACCGCTTACAATAATCTTCCGATATATATATGCTAGATGACACTGCAAGTATCGGAATTAAGAACCATAGTCTAGCGTTCGTTGTGCCCCACTTGATACTAGATGGCGCTATCTTCCAGACACAACACAAGAACCACTCAATCCTATGGCGCAACAATAATTTGAATTGACATCAAACTTTTATGTTGTGAGATTTGTTTAACTTAACTATGTTGGAGGGTTCAGGGCTAGGCTATCTTTTGCAGAGAGACGGTAAGGTTATATCCCACCTCCTTTACATGGATGATTTAAAAGTGTTTGCTCCCAGTAATTCCATACTGATAAATTTACTAGAAATAACTAAAACCTTTAGTAAATGTATCAGGATAGAATTTGATGTAAATAAGTGTGCAATCATGCATGTAAAAAGAGGCAGGTTTGTGGAGTCTGATAGGTTGGAACTCTCAGATTCCACGCACTTTAGGTGTCTCTCAGCTAACGAAACATACAAATATCTGGGTATGTCACAGGCGTTAGGTGTAAATGAGTTGACTATAAAACAATCGTTACAGGAACGTTTGTTTAGATACCTGAAAAATGTATTAAATAGTCTTTTGTCAGGTGGTAATAAGGTGAGGGCCTTTAATGATTGGGTCATACCAGATCTAACCTACTCTTTTAGCATACTTAGATGGACTCAGACTGAACTAGATACCCTGGATAAAAGAGTTCGTACATTGTTTACTACACACCGAATGCATCATCTACGTTCATCGGTGATGAGATTATACATTCCACTAAAATGTGGTGGTGGTGGTTTTCTAAATGCCAGAACTATATACATATATAGCTAAATCTCATTAATTACTTCCTTTCTGTTACTATGGATATGCATAGGGATGTAGTATCAGTTCATAACGGACTCACTCCGCTTGGTCTAGGTAAAGAGAATTTGCGCTTGCAGTACTCAACATTACTGATCGTAAGGAGATATGGAAGGGCAAAGAGCTGCATGGACGTTTTTATCGGGCCTTGAACAGGCCTAAGGTAGACCAACTGGCGTCTGTATTTTAGCTACGATTCGGTGATCGGTTCGGAGTAACTGAAGGTTTTGTCTTTGCAATTACTGATGAAGTTGTTATGACGAATAATTATCGGAAGTATATCCTGAAAGACAACACAATAGACATTTGTCGGGCAGGTCATTGTCCCGGTGTGTGTGTCCACATAATTACCAGTTATTCTCGTCTTGCCAACGACCAGTACTTGCATAGACATAACCAAGTGGCCATGATAGTCCATCAGCAACTTGCTCTTATAACCTTGTGACTTTAGAGTTACTATACTACAATAATGTGCCCGACCCAGTTCTTGAAAATGGTAGTCCAACGTTGTACTGGGATCGTCCTATTATCACTGACAGAACTATTGTTGCCAATAAACCTGATATAGTGGTAATAGACCGATTGGAGCGCTGAGTAATGATTGTTGACATTACCATTCTACATGACGACAATCTCTTGAAAGCTGAAAAAGATAAACAAGTAAAGTATTTGGATTTGGCCCACGAGATTGTCGACATGTGGGATGTTGATTCGGTTCTTCTATTTCTTTAGTTCCTCTCGATACGGCACATATTGTGAGGAGGTTCCTGTCTCTGTAGTCCTAACCACCGTTGCGCCGGTATCTTGGTCTTTGTATCCGATACCGATGGGACCTTTGGATGGGGCACTATTTTTGATATTATTTTTTTTGTATAATTTATCCTAGTAGGTATTTAAAATTGTAATCAAAATGTAAGTTTAATAAAATAAAGAGAATAGTAATATAAACCTTTATTAAGGCACTGTGTGGTTACATCAATATTAGACTTATCCTAACGACTCGAACGAGTTGGTGACACTTCGGTGGCACTAGCTCTAATACTCTCCTATGTTTTTTAACCTCTGTTTCGACACCGCGGTATACCCCACATCGCTAAAAAAAAGCAGTTATTCACCCTATTCATAAGATTGGAGATGGCAATTTACCTAACAATTATCGACCTATCGCCGTTCTTAGTGCATTTTCCAAGGTACTCGAAAATATTGGTGTATTACCTTGAGCATGACAAGTTATTGTCACCTCAACAGTTTGGATTTCGTAAGAATATTTCTACCTGTGATGTTGTACATCACCTAACTAATCACGTCGTACAGACCCTTAACTGTAATAAAAAAAAATACTTACCATCTTCCTAGACCTCACTAAGGCATTCGACACCGTTCCTATCTCTGATCTCGTAAACAAGCTCGAAGGCATGGGAATCAGGGGAAAGCAACTAGATCTAATGAATCGAACCTAAGCGATGTGAGAATGTGAGGATCGATACTTGTGATAGCGATGAGCTTCCTGTTTATTACGGCGTGCCGCAAGGCAGTATTCTAGGCCCTACTCTGTTCCTGGTGTTCATAAATGACCTATGTGATCTGAATATCCCTAATGCCAAAATAGCATCATTTGCAGATATGCACTATGCTCAGGGTGAACTGGATACAGCTTTTAATTGGCCTATATTCTCATACTCTTACAATAAATACTTCCAAACCCAACATTTTAATATATGTTATCAGCTTCGTATCTCGACCAATTCTAATCACCATAAAAGCACATAATTGCCTACCACCAAGAAAAACTCAATGCAATTTTCCCAACCTGGATCGTGTAGATCATTTTATTTTATGGAATGGGGGGCAAACGAGTAGACGGGTCACCTGATGGAAAGCAACTACCGTCGCTCATGAACGCCTGCAACTCAGGAGTCGCAAGTGCGTTACGAACCTTTGAAGAAGGAGTACGTATATTAAATATCTTGGTATAATCTTAGATACAAATCTAAATTTCAAAGCCCATATCCATGTCCTTACCGGTAGAGTGCGTAAACTAATTTATATTTTTTTTTGAATACTAATATCAATATTGAACCCTACAATAATCCGTAACATATAGTTTGCCTTGTGTGTCTCCATTATTACGTATCGTATTTCCATCACCATGAAACCCCTAGAAATGGCCCATAGATCGATTTTGAAGGCAGCAACATTCCGTTCAATGATGTACCCCACTGATAAATATTACAATTTTAGTAAAATTTATTTGCATACTATTTTAATGTACTAAGTGTATACGTTTCACTCCCCTTCAAACTCCTTGGAAACGGGCGGTTGTATATCAGCACAGGCATATTATAGATTTTGTATAAGTTTAATTTTTATTTAATTTACTTGCTCACTGTTTGACAAAACAGAGAATTTTGATCTATGACTTTAGAGCCTACATAAAGAACGATTTCAATTTTTTTTTAAAATAAAGAGTTTGAGTTCAATCAATGTATTATTCTTCTCCAGCATTATAATACGTCGCCTAAGGAAATAACCAAACGACGAAAAGACAAAGTTTGTACAGTACCACATCCTAGGACGGCATTTACTGAAAGAATCTTTTAATTCTTGGGCCCAGCTTTATACAACAAAATTTGTCGAAAATGTTCAATTAACAACCTATTATCACAACTGCAAAAAAGAGTTAAATGCATTTCTGCAAGATAAAACCTACGAGGAAACTAAAAAAAAAGCCTTTATACGTATGCACGCCCCCACCCACGCTCACACACTCGAACACACACACACACACACACAAAGACACCCCAACACAACCCCACTGTTTCTATTAACTTATGTAAAAATGCAAAAATGATATAATATTTTAATAGGTACAGTATATTGTAATATCTGCCACCGAAAGGGGTTTGGGACTGTTACTCCTTAATACAGGTTATTCCATAACCAAGCTAAGTGAACACTGCTTTGACCACTGATTGTATGCACTACCTTGATTAATTTCTGTATTAACTTTAATGTACTACAATTACCTTACGACATAAAATAAAAATATTATTTTACTAAAAACCCGGTCTGTTTGCCCAATTGTGGCAAAGGCCAATTCCTTCCACCCTGTCTCCACCCTCCTTCTCTATGCTAACCTATGATTTTTATGTCATCTACGCACCTTAGAAGCCGTCTATCTCTTTGTCTTTTTCTGTCTCTAATCAAGATATTTTTTTTGTTTTATTTTAGAGTGTCTTTTTAAATGACCAGTCCATTTCCACTTCAATATTTTTATTATTGTAGTAATTACAACGAGGTTGCGCATGTTTCATGATTTTGATGTTGATTTCTTCTAGGTAGTTAATAAAACAAAAACTATGTGACAAGGAAAAAAAACTATGTGGATCAGCAAGTTGAAGTGGCAGTGGGCTGGCCATATTAGCCGCAGAACCGATAACCGTTGGGGAAAACGAGTTCTTGAGTGGAGACCGCGTCTCGGCAAACGTAGTGTAGGACGCCCACAGGCCAGGTGGAGTGACGATTTGCGCAAGATGGCTGGCAGGAGCTGGATGCGAGAAGCCCAAAATCGATCTAAGTGGCGTGCAATGGGAGAGGCCTATGTCCAGCAGTGGACTGCGATAGGCTGATGATGATGATGTGACAAGGCTCACTACAAGATTCCAGATTGTTTAGATGACTTTGCTTGGGATTGATGCTGCTCACTCCCACATTTACGTTCCTATCATTGTTGTTAGTGTGAGAGTGATGGACATTTAATTTTCGTTGTATTTCGTAATTTGTTTGTTTTCAAGTATTTTTTATGTTTTTTTTTTGTGTAAGTAGGTATGTAAATGTGAGTATAGTGTAGGCGTGTAATGTTAGTTCGTATTTTTAGTAACTTTCTGGTGGTTTTGAGTGTTTCTGGTGGTTTGTTTAAGGGTCGTGTTTCGGGTCGTTGATCTTGACCAATATCGGTTAAACTTAACGATAGCTGCGGCCCGTATACCGTCTGTATGGACAGGCCGACTTAAAACTATATTTTTTTCTTTAAAAGGCCTATCCAGACCCTATACTGTACACGCACAGTTTTCTTTAACTATGTTTACGGACTAAAAACAAAGAAAACACCTCTAGGTTTTGTCAGCGTGAGTCTTAGGAAATGCCGGCTCCTTCTACCTGTAAAGTCCGACTTGTAAAAGTATCTCAAAAGATTTACTTACAGAAATAAATATCATTTAGCGGGCACTTACGAAATCCCAAAAGATTTAAATAGTCTTGCAAACCTACCATTCCCTACCTGCAAACTTTATTACTAGTTTAAAATATCCATTAAGAGATCCCGTGTTTACTTATGTCTTATACCTAGGAACAAAAATATACTTCTAGCAAAGACAAAAAACGTATTTGTAAAACAAAACCCTACATAGAACCAGCATACTTATAAATTAATGGATAGTAAATAAACCAAGAATGTATCAACCACCTACAGCTATCAAATAAACAAACACTGATTCATATAAAAAGAGAATTTCGTTCGTCTCAAGCCATTCTGCCTCCAACATTGATAACAGCACCATCTATATTGCAGACAAAGAACTATTTAAATATGTTGAAAATATTAGCTGTTGTGTCTCTGATGTTTATTGGTGAGTTGATTTATAATACTTATTAAGTCGCCAGTCGCAGGGCGTTTGTTTAGAAATCTTAATGTATTTTTAATTATTTCATGATCAAAATTTAAAAAAAACCTGAGAGGTTAAGAGAATATTTCGCTAACTAATAAAACATAAATAAAGAGTAAGGAATGTGACTAAGTAACAATAAACTAGTTAAAATTATATTATTATATACCTATTAAATAAAAATTAGAAAACCAAACTAAAAAATAGAAAATAAATTTGAAAAAAAAGCGTGGGGTGCTTTTTACTATTGACAACAGGCACCCAACGCTTTTTTTTCAAATTTATTTTCTATTTTTTAGTTTGGTTTTCTATAGAATGCGTGTTTTTTAGTTTTTTTAAATTTTTTTTTTTTATTAGTGTATTGTCATCGGTCCTCGATATATCTACAAAGTTTGAACGAATTCTGACCGTTTAAAGTCAGTCAAAATCACGCCCAAAGGAGTCGGTGACAAACAAACATACAAGTGAAGCTATAATAAAGCGCTAATATAAAGCGTGTAAAAATACTTACCCTTCCAACACTTGTTATTACCACTAACTTATACTATTTTTATAACCCTACTTAAGTTAATTGCGTAGCATCCATTTTAAATGTATTAAAAGTTCCGTATTTTGCCAAACTTATTACTCCTTCCTTAAAGGCTGGCGACGCGCTTGTGACTTCTGAGTTGCAGGCGTTCATGGGTGACGGTAGTCGCTTTCCATCAGGTGACCCGTCTGCTCGTTTGTCCCGTATTCCATAAAAAAAAGCTTCAGTCTTTTACATTTTATAGTATCTATAATGAAAAATATATCATTATGTTTGTATGCGGTAATGAATGATAGTCAGTCTGCGAACACGGCCTGTATAACCTGGTCAAAACGTTTGCCAATATAAAGGTTTATAATATCTATTACTTGGAATTACCTCACGCTTTGACCAGGTTCTATGGAACGTGGTCACAGGCCAACTGATATAATTCTGTGTTTCTAGAAAGCTGTTAAAATAATTTAATTAATTGTTCATATTTTTTTACAGTTAACACCTTGTGGGCTTCCAGTCTGTCGTGTAATGCTTGTGGTAGAGAATGCGCCTCTGCGTGCGGCACCAGACGCTTTAGGTCCTGCTGTTTCAACTACTTGAGGAAGAAGAGGGGGCCTGAGGCAGTTAAGGTAGTAATGGAACACATGAAATGAATGTAACACAAAACTAAACAGTAAATAGAAACTGTTATAAGGAGATGTGGGCTGTATTTAGAAAACAAATTGCCTTTTTCGGTTCAGAATAGAGATAGAACCACTCCCATAATTAGGGGGAGGAGGGGACGGGGCTAAAACGATTCTCTTAACCCCGATTTTCTGAAAGGCTGTGGTATCAACCCGGTCGAGCCAGCCCATGTGTTCCGTGACATGACTCTTGCGTGGTACAATAGTAACATGTCTTGATATTTTATCACTATCATCGTCAACAGCCTTTCATAGTCGATTGCTGGACATAGGCCTCTCCTTAGAAGGGAGGTTTTGGCCTACTATACCACGCTGGCCAGACGGGTTGGTATAGGGTTTGTTTCAAGTTTTCCTCCTCTTTGCAGTACTATTACTACTCCCTTAGTCGGCTTTTACAACACCCACGGGATGAATAGGAAACGTGACCTTCCGTATTCTGAATACACATTGAAAATCTTGATATTTATACGGTCTTGATGATACCTATGGACTACTGACAAGGTGTTTCACAAGGATCAATCTTAGGACCACATCTTTTTTATACAGCTAACGTTACATGCTCTGGCCAATTTTCAATGTACATTTTTTGTTTACTAGTTCTACTCACCGGTTCAACAACTGGAGGAAATTCGTTCTATGTCAAAATTTCCCTTACTCATCGAGGAGAACATACCCGTGTCCGAGGAGTGGCTGACCAACATGCTGTCCAACAATAGTCATCGTTACATACCTGAAGATCTTTCCGAGAACCATTACTATGATTCTTAATGTAGCATATAGTTAGAAATGGTTTCATATATTCTAATGTAAAGCTTTTCTTTGAATGGTTACTAGACAAATTTATTTATTAATTCATTAATTAACTGTAGCGGCCATATTTAACTTTGACAGTTGACATTATATGTTTTAAAAATGACCGGGATATGGATAAAAGATTTTATTAACTTGTAATGGAATATTAAGGTTGTTTATGTAGGTAATAAATCTAATAAAATAAAAAGTATTTATATTTACACGTTTAATTTATTGTTTTCTTGTGTCTTTTAACACTGTTAAGTTAAGGAGAGGCTACTTCCTAAGGAGAAGCTTATATCCAGCAGTGGACTATTAAAAGCTGTTAATGTGACTTGAAGTGAAGTTAATGACATTTTTTAATGGACAATATGGTGCTTGTGGTAGTGATGGTGTTATTCTGATGCTTATCATTTGAAATATACTCGTATAGTAGTAATTTATGTTACTTCTAATTTGTACACGTGTTAGAAAATATGTTACCCTGCCCACACATAATATGATCTTTAAGCAATGTTGACAGAAAATCGCAAAACAGCACTAATGCCCAGCCCAAAAATTCGAATTGAAGAATTTTAATGGGAAAAAAGCAAAGCGGGGATGTAAATTTCTATGTAATTAGATAAGTATTGTTAGATATACTTGATATAAATGAATTCGTACAATATCAGTATCTATGTGGTGATGGATTAAGAATACTCGTACAGTGGCTGGCGACTACGCCAGCCACTGTACGAGTTTTAGGCGGTCGCCACGCCGCTTACTTCTACGTTGAGTGTTGTGGGATCGATCCCCACATGGGACGACTGAGTTCTGATTCTGGGTGTTCTTTGTGTCCGTTTCATGTATGTTTCTAAAGTCCCCCGCAACACAGGATACATTCTTAATGCGGGAATTGTCTTTTGAAATGAAAAAAAAAAACAAAAAAAATTACGCAGTGCAAAGAAGAAGGAAAACTTGACACAAACCCGTCTGGTCAGCGTGGTATAGTAGGTCAAAACCTCTTTTCTAAAGAGAGGGCTATGTCCAGCTGTGGAATTTACAAGGCTGTTGTCGATGATGATGATGATGTGTAAGTTACGTAATACCAAATTAACAGAACTAGCCATTAGAAGCTTACAGCATTACGTGGTCTAAATTAGATGCATTTAATTTAAACCGCCAACCGTATGGACCCATTAGAATTCCCAGCTAGATACATATACCAGATAGGTCGCATTGAGCCTGACAAACTGAGAGCTGAAGAAGCTGACATATATAGGTTTACGTGCCTGCTGGTCTAGTGGTTAGTGACCCTGACTGTCAAGCCGGGGTCGTGGGTACGTTACGGTTATTTTCACTTTGAACTGAGTGTTTCTCTGTATAATATGTTTGTATAAAAAAGTAATTTAAAAAAAAAAAAAAAACCCCGACACACATATTGGATTTGAAATTTGTCATTGTGTATAGTATTCTACTAGTCAAGCCCTTTCATTAGATACCCATATTGAGGGAGTCGTGAAAAAATATGTAATCCGAAATTGTGTGGCGGTGGCCATCTTGGACCGATTTTCATCAAACATAGCTAAGAACAGCCCCGACTAATTCACCTTTCAAACAAAATCAAAACGGTTCATCCGTTCGGGAGCTACGATGCCACAGACACACACACACACACAGACTCGTCAAACTTAAAACACCCTCTCGTTTTTGCGTCGGAGGTTGAAAATATCATAGTGTATTTCTGGATCTTACACCCCACAGTACAAGTTCTACTTATTTTGGGTCTAAATTGCACTAATATCGTTATATTATCACGATGGGCCTGTAGGTAAAGTGATAAGTGATCCTTACCGCTAAGTCAATGGTCGTGGGTTCGATTCCCATCCAGGACAAATAATTGTGTGATGAGCACAAACATTTGTTCTATGCGTGGGCGAAATTTATCTATAATATGTATGTATTTAGAAATGTAAGTATGTTTATCAGCAGTCTAGTTACCATAGTACAAAGTAAGCCTATTTTATGATCAGACAGCCGTGTGTGAGATATGTAAGGTTATTAGTAACCTCGTAGACAAGTGGGTAGTTAAAGAAAACTCCAGTACCATTTCAGATTACTCTTCTAATCTTATTTAATTTAGTTCAAAACTCAACAATTATATAAATCATCACCTCCTAGTATTTACATACAGCTACAAACTAAACAATTTTGATTTGAACATGTTTCAAACTCAAACACCTGTTCAAGATAATTTCTGATTGAATGATGATCTTTTGGTACTTAATTAATAAATAGATAACTTTGAAACGCTACGTTATAATGTTGATGGAAGTTGTTTTAAGTTAGTACTTCTTGAGATTTCTTCTCGTAGCTTCAGCCGTTGCTTCTCGAATGGCGTCCCACATTTGGGCTTCAGTAAGAATTTTGCGAAATAGCTCCTCGAGTACGACTTCTGAATCCAGAGCTGAACCAAAGGTCTCATCATTCAAGTACTGTAAAGTAACATTACTATCATTAAGCTAATTATTGACGGGAACAGACTGCGTGACAATGTATAGGGTGCTTACAATTTACAAAACCGTAATTTTAATTTTTATGATTTTCATATTACCAGTGAGTCACTCTCACGACTCCTGATAAGCCAAACTCTATCAGGTCCTTTAGATTACAAAGCGTGCCAAAGAACAATACATTTAATCAATACATACACTCGATAAACATAGTCCTCCTTCTGTATACAGGGTGTAAGGGACATCGTAACGAATAGTGAAATAGTGTATTCAGACCATAATTCTGAGTTGAAAGTCTTCGAAATTTTTATTATTATGTTGTTATTATCAATTTATATATTATTATTTTCTTAAGAATACTTTAATATGAGATGCATACAGAACTATGCATTATTTTCTAAAGCGATGGATTAAAACAATGAAAACACGAGCAATTCGGATTGATTTAAGGTAATGAAACTGATGGCCTACCCGTGTTTCAGCAACAAGCTGTTCTGGTGACATTCCAATACTTGCTTGAGACCTTTTAGGAGATCCAGAGCATCCTGGGATATAAAAATAGTTAAAATTAAACAAAGATAAAAAAACAATAGGAATAGTTCCTGTTGGTCTTGTACAAAAAGTGGTATAATATAAACTGTTAGCTTTTGGACTTCTTATGTATCACACGCCCGAATTTTGACCAATTTTGAAAAAGAAGAAAGAATTTTGACCGGCGATCCTTAGGAGTGGAACAGTGACCATAAACTCAGATGAAACTCAGGGGAAAGACAGATAGTATAATATGAACACATTGGAGAAGCAGAAGCCTCTGTGGAATATTTTGAACCATTAAAAAAGACTCGCTTTGTAATTGTCGTCATCTTAATGATTGCTACAGATTATAACTGAAAGCACAATGCTATAACTAATACAGAAAAGTTTTTCGAATACTGTAATAGCCATAAACATATTTTGATAGATATACGTATTTTACACACACTTAAAGAAAAACATAAACTCAATTTCACACATACCATTGAACACGTTGCAAAAAGGTCTTTTCTTGGGCGTTAAAACCATCTCATCTGACAACTCTGGGTTGGTGTCTCTTGAAATCTAGAAAATGTAAATAAATATAGAATATATAACAAATTCTATGTAGTCACACAAAATTTAGGAATTAAAAACATAGTTTTAAATTCAGAGCCGCAAACGCTTGCTGTCAAAACGCTTACCATAAGTTGTCAACGCCTGTTGATGCCTTGTCAAAACGCTTACTTGCCGGACATGTTGCTTGTCTCAATATCAATACAAGAGTAAGTCCTACTTAATATTAGACGTTATCTAATTTTTAAATTACAGATGAACAAAATATGGGTAAATAAAAGTAAAACAGGGAAACTCTTTTCCTAAACCGGGTATTTTAAATCCCGTAAATTTATTTGCATCAAAATCTAACAAGTTCACCATTAAAACTAAGTCACCTTCTAGTAATAAACACTTATATATCTAGTATTAAAAAGTATTACGTCATAAACCTAATGATTTGCAACTAGAAGAAATTAATAGCTGTGTTCAACCATACTCATGTGTGTATATTCACAAACCTAAGTTACTTGAGTTTTTATTGCAAATCTCGTGCATTTTAATTATTTCAAATACTTTATGAGTCAAAACTATGCTTGCTATTGGATATATAAATAAGTAATGCTGTAAACTAATTATAGTATTCCTCCAAGGTGGACCTTAGGTGCAAGAAAATTACAAGCCCTAATGTAGAACCCTGGAAGACTCCACAAATTAATTACAGATAAAATAATTTAATTGAACACCAATTTTATTTGTTGTAAAATAATTTGTTTTAAATTATGTTTATGCAGCTAAATTAGAAAGCTTTTGTAGAGTGATATACAACCTCAAAGGCTTTAGTTAAAACATAGAGTATACGGATTTTTTGTAATAATTAAGTCATTGAATTAAGTGAATTATCTCACTTTTGTACGATATCATTTCATTATACACATAGGTGTTGCACGAAACAAATAATAATTAATTAAATATTATCGTTACTTAGGCTTGTGAACATTTGTCTTCTTTAAACAATACACATTGTTTGCAGTATAATATCATAGACAAGCGGATTGGCGTATAGAAGAGCATTGAGCAGAATTATACTTTTTGTTTCGACACGGCACAGATAACATCTGAGCTATAAATTATCATAGTGAAAAATATGTTTTCTATAGCAAAAGATGCATTTATATTTTTGATTCCGTAGTCGAGTTATTTAGTTAGTTTGAAGAGTTATTAGACGAATATGAAACGCTATGGTGTCACGTCGATGGTGTAGTGTCCTAATATATGATATCCTTTTGTTTCCGCCTCGCTATTTCAGCGCTAGCTTCTTGAATTGCTTCCCAAAGCTTTGCTTCAGAGAGTATCTGACGAGAAAGCTCTTCGATCGCAGTTTCAGAGTCAAGAAGTGAGCCAAGTGTTTCATCGTCCATGTACTGAAAATAAAATTGATATAATCATTGTAAGACCACTAAGAGGTGCTGTTTTGTGTTGTTAAAAAAGCATATACATCGTCAATTCTAACATTTATAACCTTGGAATCTGCAGCAGTCTCCTAATAATATTTATAATCACCTGCTTTTGCCTGATGAGTTCCTGTGAAGGCATTCCCGGTGCTGCCTGAGACCTCTTGCGACCGCATCCTAAAAAGAAAAACAGATCAGAATTGGAAAGAAATAGAGTACATGAGTATTATCCAAAGGGATTTTAAAGGAGCTTTATCATTGGCCCTTACTTATTTTTTATTCATGAAATACTTTTTACTTTTGAGAAGTAATTTTAGCATTTTGGATTAATTACACAAATATGTATAAAAGAAAATAAAAGTAGAGTTTAAATAGCGATTTCAAAATATAATGTGAAGTATTTACATAACAATATACCTACTTTAAAATTAGTATTAAGTAAAAATTAAGTAAATAATAAAAGCACGCCTCACATTGACTGTCTGTTAATCAGGCTAGACTAGAAATTAACCTTTTTATAAAACTCACCGGTGAAAGCGTTGCAGAATGGCCTTTTCTTGGGCGTGAGCACCATCTCATCAGAGAGACGGGGATCAAAGTTTCTTGGAATCTGTAAAATAAATCTCATGGCTAAAATACTTATAAAATAGTTTCGAAAGAGATACACTGTACAGATAAGCGTATATGTACAATTTTTATTATCATAGAGAGCCATGGCGTGTTAGACACTGATTTTAAACACACAACACACACCACAAAAAGAGAGTCACGATCGTTAGTGAATGTAAATTCCTGAACAAGAACTGAAAGGTAAACGAATAGAGAAGTTGTAGAAGTTAAAAAAGAGATAAGACGTGTAAGACACGTAAGATACTTCACTGCAAGAAAGAACACGAAACAGTAAAAGTTTTAGTTAAAGCAGACAAATAAAGTGCTGATTTACCAGGATACCAGTAAAAAGCAGGCGCCAGAATGTATCAGCAATTACTTGACCAACAGGAGAATAAATTGTTCTTAAAAAGAAGAAGAAAAACTCAAGTTTCATACTTGCAGCTAGAGTTTTAACAAGTCCTTCGCCAGGTAAACTTAGCAGTTCAAATGTGCTTGACGACAAGTACAATATTTCACAGTTTTATTAGGTCAGTTGATATTCCTATCCTAGAGACCTCTTTAATCCCTGGAAGGAAATACGATTCCAGCTTCTTCGTCATCGTCATCCAAGATCTGTGGTAACCCTTACAAACCCTAGCTTAATCATCTTATTAGTTTCCTTAATTTACCTTCTTCCTTTATCAAATCTGAACACAATTAAATTCTCAAGGAAGGTCGCCGTCAGGCAGGACGTGGATAGTCATAAAACAAACCAGCCAAAATATTTTCTATATTACGCGTTGTGTTGACCTTCGAATAAATGGATGATGACGAACCAGGGCTGAATTGAATCAGACATAAGGTGATCTCATGATCTTGAATATATAATAATAATTATAATATAATAATATATTCTACCACATACACACAACGCCATCTAGTCCCAAACTAAGCAGAGCTTGTACTATGGGTAATAGACAACTGATATAAATACATATTTGTAAATACATACATATTATACATAGAAACACCCAGACCAAATCAAACATCAAATGTTCATGCACACAAATGTTTGACTTGAGCGGGAATCGAACCCGCGACCTTTGGAATAGCGAATCCGTTACACAAACCACTACGCCATCCAGTCGTCAAAAATCGTTCGAATGATCGATATTCAGTAGGTATTTACGGCTAAAATCATTTTATTCTTAATTGAGAGTTACTGATAATCTTAAATATTAACATATGCAATACTTACAGTTGCGGTGTGACAGCAGTGCATGTACAACAGCGCCACTACGACCAATAACGAAACGCGTGAAACCGACATGGCTGATATATTATTTGACAGCAAAAACAAGATGGCGGATCTGTTGACAATTTAAAATAAATAAACAATATAATATAATACTATTATATTTCAGACATCTAATACTTAACGCCGTCTAGTTTAAAACTAAGCAGAGCTTGTACTATGAAAACTAGATTGACTGATAGAATACTTATATAATTTTCTTCTTTTTAAAACCTACATACAAGGTCTTGATAGTTATTTAAATTTGAAAACACGTAATTGGTTTTTAGCTACATTATTTGCTCTTACCATTAAATTTTTGATACTGTTTTTTTTCCAAATAAACTAAAATACATATTATACATAGAAAACACCCAAAATCCGAAACAAATATTTGCAGCGTATGCAAACATATATCTAATGTTACTTAATTATAAAATGTTATTATGTATAGTATGTCGGTGTAGTTCGACTAAAAGAAACCGTAGAAAATTTAAGATAATAATGTTTTTTTATTTATAAACAGGTAACGGTTTTTTCTTTTTTTTTCTTTTCACACATGGCTGACTGATCACTAACCACGCAGAGCCTGTACTATGGTAACTAGACTGCTGATTAACATACTTATATATTTCTAAATACATACATATTATAGATAAATTACACCCAGACACAGAACAAACGATTGTGCTCATCACACAAATATTTGTCCTGGCTGGGAATCGAACCCACGACCTCCGCTTTAGCAGTCAGGGCCATTAACCACTAAACCAACAGGCCCGTCAAAAAATGTATTGTAATTATTTTTTTTAAATATTTTATTAAACCCATATTAACAGAACAACAATTTGTGTGGTGTGTGACAACAAAGTGTTGTCCCATGTGGTGATCGAACCCACAATACTCAGCGCAGGGAACGGCGAGGTAACTACCGCTACGCATTCCATGCAGATTTTGAACTTTAAATGTGGTAACCTCCTCCACATGTAACGAACCATACATATATATGTATTTACATCATCCTCGCCATCTCGCCTGGTCTAAGGAAAGTGTCTAAAGTAAACCACCATATAATACCAAGACAACAATATCGACTTAAAACATAAGTCAAATTCGAAATTTTTTATTTACTTCAATCTTAGACTGAAATCACGAAACTTCAATAAAATAAACTATTATTACATTTGAATTAAGCGCTTGTTACACGTTCCGATTGCACACCACCCGATTCTTTATGGTAGAACGTATTAAGAACAGTTAAGACTGAATAAAACTAATACAAGAATTATATACTTCAAAATTTATCGATTTAAATTCTATCAACATTACGATACATAAATAGTTCATTATACGAGTATTATCTGACAATTTGCCCAATTTCTTTCTCAAGAACGGCGAGCGGGAGCAAGCGGCCAGCCTTAAACTAAAACATCTAAAACCCCATGCAAAATATAAACGCGTCTTTAAGTAGGCCCTCTTTTCCACTGGGCACTCTGGGCACGTGCCCAGGGCCCCTCGATAGATAGAGACCCCCCAATTCCTATCTACCTAATTCGATAATCGATATTTTTTACCGAAAAACATTTTTTTTTTAGAAAAATCCAGCGAAAATGGCTGATTATAATACCTTGTTTGACTATTCTAACAGAATACTAATCAGTCAAAGTCGTAGGGGCCAACTATCCTAATGTGCCCCTCCGATAGGCTAAAGACGGCCTGTCTTTAAGTATTTGCAAAATTTGCTGGGTACTTCTTTAAGCGACAAATTCACTATAATCTAAAGTCCATGATTTTGTATGCTGAGTGTTATTATAAATAAGTCATCATAATAAAATAATTCAAATGTTATGTATTTTAATTTCCAAATGAGCTTACCAAACTTAATATTATGACATTTGTAGAAACGGACTCCCCAAAAAAGCCATGACAAGAAAATCCTTCTTAAAAAAAGGTTGAACCGACTTCAAACAATACTAACAAAGAGCACTACAAACCTAGCGGCAATCGTGGTTGATTTGAATTTTTTTGAAGAGTTCCGTTGTCTGTCTCCGAAACTCATCATCAGATCTATATGAAATTTAAATGGGACCATTTTGAAATAAACCTTTTTCGAACAAAAAAATATGACATTTGTTAGAGATATCTACTTAAATTTTATAAAACGTAGTCGACGTTTTTCGTGCAATCCGATATTTTCAGAACAGAAATCGGATCGTATGGTGTTAACACTCCCTTGCACTTATTTCTTACGGAGTTCAGTCGGAGTCCCGCTGTTTCTACAACACTAGACTTAGAATTGTATTTTTTCAACTTTTACTTGTTACATTGCCCATTGGTTCATAAACGCTACAGGGAACACAATAAAACTATCAATAAAATGCATTATTGCTGAGAAATATAAAATCTAAAATGGCTGATGGATTTATTTCCCTTTGGAAGTAATAATAAGAGTTCGAACATCTGACACACAACGCCGTCTAGTGTCAAACTATGCAAAACTTGTACTATAAAAACTAGATTGACTGATAGAATACTTTGATACATTTTTTTTGTAAATACATACATATTATACTTAGAAAACACCCAAACTCCGAAAATATTTGCATATTATGAAAACATTTGGTCCAACCCAGGAATCGAACCAGAGACCTCAGCACAGCAGTCGCATACGCTACCACTGCACCACCGAGGTAGTCAAGTAGTAGGAAGTACTGTTATAAGTTGAAAATTGACCGGAGTGATAGAAAGTTTTTTACTGAAAAACTCTATTACGCAATTATTTCGTTGATTTTATTAACTTTATGCAATGCACTTAACCGTCTTAAGTAGCAAATGTCGATGGATGGCGGTAGTTGCTTACCATCAGAGGGCTGAGTCAAGTTTATTTCACATCGACTCACTCTTGACGGCGAGCGCGTTCAGCGTTGCGATTGGTGGAGATTTCAGTGCGGGCTAATCGTATCGCCGAACGCGGTCAATAGGAGAAAAACCAATCATTTCATCAAATGAATATGATTTAAAAGTAGCAATAATTTCAATGTCTACTGCTGTTCACTATACGATAAATGCGAGTACAATAAAACATCGTCTAAATATAAAATACTTAGATAAATAAAACTTTTTACAGTTGAGCTCGGGACAATTGACAACTATCAACAATTCAATTAAGCTCCAAGTTCTCAACTTTAACATGGTTAACGATAATTAACTAAGTAATTAAGTATTGAACAAGTTGTTATAAAGTTTTATTTGACTTTAGGCAGTACGGAGAAATTTGAAAGGAGTGTCTTTTTACATCCACAGTTACATGGAACGGTTTTATTCCGTCGCTCAAGTGATTAACTAACTTATTAAGGTAGGAGTAGGTTTTTTTCTTTATTTTTCTTCTTTAAAAAGACAACTTTCGCATTAGGAATATATCCTGTGTCGCTGTGGACTTTACAAACATACATGAAACGGACACAAAGAACACCCAGACTTAGAACATCAATTTGTGGATCACTCAAAGTGTCGTCCTATTTGGGGAGGACCCATAGCACTCAGCGTAGTAGTAAACGGCGTGGCTTCACCTTAAGCCACTACGCCATCCGTGCAGTTGGTTTATGGTAAGTGGGCACCGTAAAAGATATGTATTTTCTAAAGTAGACAATACGAGTAATAGGTAACTCTGATTATAGTCAAAGACAAAACCCCGTTTTAAATTTAGAATTTATCGTTAAAGTAACATAAAGTTGATAGATTATGAATAAACGTATTCTCTAATTGAAGCTGTCTGATTGGTTATCACATCTCTGGATGTGGTTCGAAGGGAAGAAATTAATCTCATTTGTTGAATAAACCACACAATGCTAACATCCTATAACTATCAAATATGAGTTACGGATTTATCATAGATATTTTATAAACCTTGAAACTAGAAATATCCATAGAATTGATAAAGCACTTTAAAAAATTTACGAAAATTTTGTTACCAAAAATTAATTACATTTCCTTCGGTGATTAGTTACAAAGGAAGTTGAAGAATTACAAAAGAGGTTGCACTTAACGATTTAATTGATAGAAAAGTTGATTTTAAGCGTTCAAATGTTTCAGCGGTTATTGAAGTCGTGGTCTCTGGCGCTGGAGACCAATGTTTTAATGCGACATATTTAGAAATTGTCATTGGAAAAACGATAGTAATATACGTAATTCTATTATTCTTTTTTATTGATGTGAACCTACTGAACACACCCCTAATTTGGGGATGTGTAGTAGTATAATAAAGACGATTGCCCGCTATTCATTGTAATAAAGTTACGTGGAAAGACGCCGGAAATACAATATGTACCGTTCCCGCAGTTATATCTGCTCTAGTTTAGCAGCCAGAATCACTAGCCGCTAGACCAATAGGACCGTAATTTATGTTTTTATAGATACGGCAGCCTGATTCCAAGCTAGACAGAGCCTGTGATATGGTAACCAGACTTCTAATAAACATGGTACTTTAATTTTTCTAAATACATACTTATTATGGACGAGTTTGACCCAGACACAAAACCAATTATCGTGCTCATTACGCAATTATTAGGGGATATGTGTGAATCGAACTCACGACCTCTAGTTTAGCAGTTGGAATCAAATATCATTTAAATATTAAAAGCAATATTAATCATATCCAGACAATATACTATGCTACGCCTGTTATTCTTACTACATTTGTATGATGATAAACTTTCAAAAGTTCTGAATCATAGAGCTTGAAAAATAATAATGGTTTTTTGTTCAGTTTCATTGCTAAACAAGTTACGGCGACCCCTCCCTTAGTTATTCTAGGTAATGCAACGCCCGTGTCTCGTCACTGCCGTTCACTATTATTTTTCAATCTCAAGTCGCGGTGTACTTTTAATTCTCTCCTTTTAAATTAAATTTCTGTTCTCTGACATGGACGTTTTAATACACGATAGAACGATGTTAAAGGATGACGATACGAAAAATATTTATTTTACATTTCAGCGTTTAGTTTTTGGACGGCTAACAAGATTTATTACGAGATCATC